CCATATTCTCAGCAGGCTTTTTGGTGTCACCTGTTGGTAACATACATTTGACAAAACTGTAAGTTAAAAATTACAATGGTTACTGCAGTTTTCTATGTGCTAAGCTTACTGTGTGTGCATGCAGAATGAAGTGATAAGGTGGGTGGACTAACAGTTTTCACTGTGCCTTTCTAAAAACCAGGGCACTGTTCAGAACCACTGTCTTGGGAGATACCATCAAAAGCAGTTGAATATCTCTGCTAGTGATGAATGGAACAGAGCAAGTTTCTGAAATGTGATAAGAAGATAAAGATGGCATTAAAATTGCCTCAAATGTCCCTTAAAGTTAGATTACGTATGCTGTCATAAGGCAAATGGAGGGACTACATTTATTTATTTTTTTACATTAAAACCATAAAAAAGCTTCTGTTAGCAAATTAATGTTAGTCTCACAGTGAAGATGTAGGTGAACTAAAATAACAGCCATGTTGCCCTGCCCGAATTACCACTGGATAGGTTGCATTCTGTGTACGACATTCTGTACTGTAATGGTTGCTGAAGACAGTGTTACTATCATATGAATTTTATCCAGTGTAACAAAAATGAATTTGGCCAGCTTTCTTTCATTTTCTCATCGTGGATCTTCAACAGGTAAAAAGATTCAATTTCAAGAAACATACTGAAGGAAAAAGAAGGGCAAATAGCTTGCTCCTTACTTACCAGATGACTGCCAGCCTGATCTCACTCAACCGGACCCTGCTGCCTTTGTGCCACCTGTGACCAGTGACACATCAGAGCAGCAGTTGTGTTCTGTGGATCCCCAGGGGGTGCTCCCCACACTATGAGTTGTGGTATCCACCCTGTGCCTGAACCCTGCTCTGTGTTTTGCATTCTCCACCCTGTTTTCATTAGCTGCTTTTTCAGTCTTACATCACCTGTTATGTCTGTTGGCAATTAAAGTTCTGTAAACTGTAATGTCTTGGTCTAGTCTTCAGAGTCTGTGCATGTCCCCTATGCTACTTTAGGCAGCACTCAGTCATTTTACCTGTTTTGCAAACAAACAAGTAATATTTCAATTATTAAACAGATTTCTGAGAGTGCTCTTTGCTCTCTGTTATTTTTTTCTTCCAGAAGCAAGTTATTTTTATATTTAGCATAGACTTGGTATCTCCTTGGTGGATACGTACATCAGATTTACAAATTATTGAAAGAAGACTGGAATGTAACACTGTGAAGACATAACTGGGATCCTTGAGTACAGTTCTCAAAGATATGTTATGCTTGCATTAAAAATGTCCCATCTTTTGATGTCTAATTTTAAACTTGTGCAGCCCTAGCCTTTGGAGGTGGCAATTATAAAGCTGGGAATTAAAAGATTCTAGATGAAATTAATGAGAGAATATTGGTAGTTTATTAGTCTAGTCATAAAAAATATTTCAGACTAAAAGCCAGTCAAAGTTGCTAGTCTTAATACTGGAGATGGTTATTCTTCTTCCACATATGTTGAAAAATCTGCTCAATTTTATGTGCTATAATTTCCCTGAAATATGATTTCCAGAATTGTTGTGTTTGGGGTTTTTTTTTACTCAATTAAATTGTATTAATTATAAACAGCAACAATAAGGTTCAGCATCTCAGCCAAAAAAAAAAAAAAAAAAAAATCATTTAAATCATGGGAAAGAAAGGTATTTTCATATGGTGCTGTTTAATAGAGGAATAAATTGAGCTTCCTGACTGGGCTATTTTGTATGACTGTCAGAGAAAAGCAATGAAAAATATTAGGGCATTAGCCTTTTTAATGAAACAAAATAGCAGTATAAAATGTCTTTTTTTTTTTTTTTTTTCTGAGAGAGATGTTGAGTCATTTCAAGGTAGAATATGTCAGTCTGGGGAAATGCACACTGGTAATTTTTCACTGGATATATTTGCATGTTGAAAGTATTTTCAAAATGCAAAACAAGTTTTGTGCCAAGAAAGTGACTCCACAGTATGACCATCTGCAGAATAGGAAATACCCTTGGACAGATTCGGAACTCAGCATTTGGTTCCGCATGCAGATAGCACAGTCACTAATTTTAGAAGATATCCAGATTAATTCTGGTGTTAGCCTCTGCCCAGTGATTAAAATGGCATATAGCAATTTATTTAATAATATATTTCCTGAAGTTCCCAGTATTTTCACCAAAAGCATTAACTCAAACCTTGCAATTGTTTGAGTAGATTTAGTATTCACAGTGTTTTTAAAAATGGGCTTAATACAAATTGTCAAATTTCAGTTCAAATTACCTGCTTACCTGACATGCATCTCAATGTGCTGTCACCTTTCTCAGGTCTTCTTTCCACTTCCAGCATTCACCGCATTTGGGAACGCTGAGTTCAGTAAAACTAGTATTTTACTGAAAGGAAGGGCTGTTACAGGAAAATCTATAGTGCTTTGTTATTGAATAGGAGGATGTGTGCCATGGCTTTTCCGCTGTTCTGTGCTCTCTCAGCAGAGCCACAGAAACCAAGGCTGTCCTGCTGTCCCCAGCCCTTCTAGAGCTGGTTCATTTTCTGTCTCACAATCAAGCCATGGTTTTGATCAAGAAGGGTCCTTGAGTCAGATCGATCTGTTGAGTTACGTGCTTTATGCCTGCTAACTTGGAGATGCCAAATACAAAAGGCAGTACTAGAAATATTACAAACCGCAACCCTGCGCCAGAAAAACTACATACTTGTAAACAGTTTTGGCCAGGCCAGAAAATTTCCTTTTCTTCCTGCTCACTTCACACTGCTGCAAAAGATAGAAAATGAGGGAGGCAATAGGAAGAGAAAGGAAATTATGGACAAATTTAAAGCACAAGCACACTGAATCTAAAATGCAAAGCCTTTTTGTAATATGCAAAATGTATGAGGGATCTTACTATGTCCGTTGTGCCACTGATAACAGTAGGGATGGGGACAAAGAGGATGAAGTTCGGGTGGTGCATCTTTGACAGCAGTTTGCAGTGGGGGAAGGACAACTCTCTCCTTGGCAGGAGTCTTGGGCTTCCTGCCACGTTGCCTTCAAAGGGTGCAGTGCAGTTTAAGAAGGAGGTGGAAAACAACAATGTTGAGTTCAGTGACAAGATAAAGACCTCTGTATAAAATAATGTCTGCTGGTTTTGTAATACTAGGAAAATCTTTTCTGACAGAGAAGAAGAAAATTTATTTTCGTCATTACATTTTCAGAAATAACCTATGTCTGAGTATCTCATGGCAATAAGCATTTGTGATGCTTGTGTGCTCTATTTCTAAGACATATCAGAGCTGCTTATTTAAACAAACTTTTTTACCTTCTAGTAGCTGCTTTAACTAAAAGATTTGTTTGGGTTCGAAGAAGTGCTGTTTTGAATGTAGGAATGGGGCACTGTACTGTGAAATGGGCTGCTATTGTAGCTGTGATGGTATAAGGACATAGACAAGGCAGAATTTGTAGCGAGAGGCAATTTTATTAGATGAGCAGATGTAGATGGGAGAAAAAACAAGCTCTCCTCTAGACCTGAAGAAAGGATCTGAAAGCTTTTTGATTATTTGTTTCATTAAATCTTGCTTCAGAGTGGCAGGACTTTAAACCTGCTGCAAGGCCTGTTACTCCCTTACCCTCCTCCCAAAAAACATGCAGTTTTTTCAGATTACTTGAACTTTGGCCTGCCCTAAGTAAAACCAACCCAGACACAACTATATATTAATTACTGAGTACGTATAGGTAAATCTGCAACATTTGCTCAGCTATTACGTATTGAATGATGAAACATATATGATGTTTCTCTCCAGACTCTCTCGTTGATCCTATGCGTTCACTTAATGTGTTGTTGAAAAAACATCCTGTATATGGCACAAAATTAAAATAATACTTATTCTTATCAAGATTGTGTTTCTATGCTTTGAGTATTTTGACTGTTCTTTATTTCACAGTTAATTGCATTTCATTCTATATATTTTTGGCATAAAATACACACTTTTTGCAAGATTTTAGGTCTAGAGACAATGAGCTATTATTCCCAATTTATATTTAAATAAACAAGAGTTGGAATCAGCTTTACTGGACTCCATGCAACAATTCTATATTGCAGTGTCAGTGGTGCAGGTCTATTAATAGTACAGTTAGCACTGTAGATAATTGTCACAGGAATGTCTGGATATGCACAGTAGCACATTTTAAACAACAGCCAGATGATTGACCATTTTTGTAATCTTTTGTTAAGTACCGAAAGTAAATAAAGGATTTGTTGTTGCTGTACAATTTGAAAAAAAATTAGTAATACATGGTTACTCTCCTCATTCAAATTCACTTTCAATGTGATTTTCTTTCACTGAATGTTGTATATGGTGCGAAGAATGAAGAAAACAGAGGAAAAGTGTGTAGGGCACTAATTTTGATTACAATAGCAAAAATATCATGAATAAATTACTTAGCTCATATTGAATATATTATCAATTCAAATTGTGTCAAAACATACTTTGTACACCATGTGTATTACCAAGAATATTGCAGGTTTCTGATATTGTCTAAAGCCAAAAAGGTGGTTTTGCTGTGTCTGAAGAAGTATGTAGTGAGATAAAGAATTGTTACTAACCCTTGTTTTACAGGAAAGTATTCAAATAAAGGTGTAAAGCAATGTTAATTAAATGCATGTATTGTGTTCTGATTCCTCGTGGCCTAGTAAGATACAGGAATGAGAAGTGGAAGAAAGTATTAAAATAAATATTGTAATTTAAAGCGATGAAAGATATTTTTTGTAGTGTGAGGAAACACTTTTATCCTTTGCAGTTTTCAAAGTATTTTTCCTTGCATTAATGCTGGGCTGCTTGTTGCCTTCTGCTTTACTCTGAAGTAGTCTAAATCAGAATAGTGGGTCTGTTACTGATGAGGAGAGCTCACTGACTCGCTAACTGTCCTCACATGTGAACAGAGATTCTGTCTTCTCTAGTGCATTTCAGAAGTACAATGAAGAAACCCACATGTTCATTTGCCATAAACCTTTTTTCTGCCTTTTCAGGGAAGCAATCAGTCGTGTTTGTGAAGCTGTACCTGGTGCCAAAGGAGCCTCCAAGAAACGAAAGGTATTCTTCCCTTCTTGTAGTGAAGTTGACTGTTTTTTCCTAGTTCACACCAAGGAGACCAGCACAGCAGGCAGGAAACTTAAAACAGCTTTGAGAATTGCAGATCATTATGTATTTAAAGTATTTGCTCTTCTTACATACTGTATGCTGCTTCTCTCTCTTTGTCAGAATCTTCTTTTACAGGAATCTTGAAGTAGGAGTACATCTCAGAAACAGACTGAAGCTTGTTCCTACTGTAGAAACTCCATTTGTGTGTGTGTGTTTTCTTTTGTAGATTTGCAGGTGAAAGGCTAAAACCAAACAAAATGGGATGCCTTTTCATTCAATACATGAGCGAATTGTGAAAATCCATACTGGAAACTACTGAAGAGTTCAAAAGTATACATTATTTTGAAAGTGACTAGATCTGTTTAAGGAGCATAGCTCTTCTGATGACATTTAAAGGGTTTGGAAATTGCTAGTTACTGGAAATTGAAAGAATGTGCCCAGCAATTTCCTGTTTCACATGCTCTTCCCTGAGCAACATTGGCCTAGCGCACTGATTACTATACTTTGATTCTTATGTGTAGTGCGAATTAGGATCTGCAAACAAGGAATGGAGGAGGCCTCAGCTTGGCCCCTGCAGCACCATACGCTCTTCTACACGCCCATGAGCAAAGTTGGGATTCAACGCTAAGCCTCAGGGAGAGAGTGCAGAATGAAATTAACTGTAACTGTTGTGTGTGTTTCTGGATGCAGAAGAACAGGCAGGTGAAAGTGAGGTCTGCCTGCTTGCCACTGCCTGGCCATCTTTGCAGTTCCCACAGAATAGAGAGACTGAATTCTGCTTCTGCAATAGGTAATGTTCCCAAAATAACGCAATGGAACCACATCTGTGACAGCATAATTGGAAATTGTCTCAGAATTGAAGTTGTGATTCTTGTCTTCTCCAGGAAATTTATCTCATTGGCAGTGTTAGGTTCTCCAGCCTTGATTTTTAAACCAAAAAAGGCAAAATGCCTTTTTTGTAAGTGTTCTATCATACAAAATGTAGGAGTCTTGCACGCCTAGTGAGACACTATTACTATGTTTAGGAGTACTGTCACTTATTAGTTGTGAAAATGAAGTACTGTTCTTAAAATAAATCTACTGGTGGAGAAGAAATTTTGCCCAGCAACAGAATATCAGCAAAACGTTAAAGACAAGTTATCTGTTGTCAGGGTGTAACTTCCATGGTTTTGCCTCTACTGGTTACTGATCTGGTTAAGGAGGCTTCTTGAGGACAGTGGCACCGTTAAGTGGGGATCATCAGGCATTAGCTGGGAAGGGTTTAAAAAAGAAAGAAGAATAGTTAGAAGAGCTTGTTTTAGAAAGCTTCTTGTGAAAATACTGTCTCTGTAACAATATGAATTAAAACCCATGGAGCACAGATGTTGCATGCAAGTAATAAGTAGTCAGTGTGTTTTTAATCAATCAAACTGAAAGGAAAAAGTTAGCAATGAATTTAAGCTTTAAGGAGGAGTACAAGATTGGCCAGTGTGGTAGAGACAAAGCTTACCAGCCTTGCAGGCACTGTATCTCAGATACATTGGCAGAGGAACACTGCCTTCAGTCACAGCTCTGCTTTCATAATCTCATTACCAACATGCATGTGCAGCTGTATATCTGCAGTGAGTGCATGGCTTGGTCTGCTGTTTCTGCAGGGCAGCCTGCTTTTCAGGCTGCATCAACCTAGACAAGACAGCTGTATGAGCTGCCAGAAGTGGGAAGTCTGTGACCTATGTAAATGCTCTGAGGTAACCCCTCAGGTTACACTTTGATCAGGCATCAGGGTATACCTACCTAACTTGTAATCACTATTAGTAGTAGTAGTATAAACGAGATACTATCTCATAGTATACTATCTCATAGAGAGGAAAATAGCTGTTCTGATGAAGTGATCTTTCAAAGCTTAGCAGCTTTTTAGAAGTTTTATTGTTTGGGATAACCCTATCTACAAGAAAGGTCACCCAAGTAAATGGAGCAAAAATATGCTTTTCCTCCCCCAACAGACACCGAACAAAGTTCTGTCCAGCATCTTGGGAAAGAGCAATCTTCAGTTTGCAGGAATGAGCATAATGCTGAATATTTCTACTGCAAGCTTAAACCTTATGACTCCTGATATGAAACAGGTGAGTATAAGAACGATATTAATTTGTGAGTCTTTTGGCAAACAGCCCAGTGTGCAGTTATTTCTAATCTACCAAAATACTGGCTTAAGGTGTAATTACTCAACATTGTTAATAAAGTGAATGAAAATAGAATATAAATCATATTAGGAGTCATATTATGCTGCAGCATTCAACACAGATTTGATTTTCTCCTTACCATGCTTGAGGTTTTGCTCTTAAGGGACCTGTAATTTGAAAAGGCGGTTACTGGCTATAGGAGTTCTTGTTAGGCACAATTACAAGCATTCAGAGTGTTCAGAGAGGTGCATCTGGAGTAGGTGACTAAAGGACAGAATGTGCAACCCTGATTTTTTTTTTTTTCATTCTTCTGTCTTAGAGCCTTGAAGGGCAATCTGTTTCTAAAGTGCTGCTAAAAATATAGCTGGAGGCATTTTGCAGTGCAGTGAAATGCCAGTCTTTTCAAAAGACTAGGCAGACTTTTTCAGGCAGCCCATTTCTTCTTCTCTGTGCTGAAGGTACCCTACAGACTTTGGAGAATTACTGCATTGGTCTGTGAATTATGAATGAGATGAGAAAAATTCTTGCTCAGAGTATAGAGAAAGCAGTCAGGCTTGTGTAGTCACTGCTATGCTATTTGCAGGGAGCCTCATACTGTGAGAAGGCACACAACTTTCTGCCCAGATGGGGGAAAAAATTTTTTTTGCTGGCTTCAAGAGCATCAGGATTACAGAAGAAAATGAATATACACATTGTGTGATAAAAAACCTGCTGTTCATTATTATATTTTCACTGATTATATTTTCAGTGATTCTTATCCTCCATTTCAAAAGCATTGTAATCTTCTACAACGAGCACTGAGACTATGAGTGCAGTGTTATGGTTGCTTGCAGTATTTTGGAGCCTTATTATGCAATAGATAAAGAGATGTTTTTCATTAGGCCAGTTGCCCACAGTCAGAAGCATAGGAACTTGATCTATTTATATTACATCTATTTACCTATTTATAATATACTACATCTATTTAAAAAGTGCCAGACCCTGAAAGTGATTTTGTTTTCAGCCGACATCAGAGTAGAAATGCAATTAAATGTTATATCCCTGAAAAGGATCCTCCCCCAAATGCTTTGATTTTTCTCTGTGAGTGATGAGCCTGATCTAGCATAGAATGGGGAGTTTGGTGGCCCTGCATGTGCAGGGAGGTTGGAGATTCATGATCCCTGAGGTCCCTTCCAACCCTGGCCATTCTGTGATTCTGTGATGAAGTGATAACCAGTGAGCTGAAAAACAAACAAAAAAAGGAGTTGACAAAACTGTTTCTCCCAGATCATTATTGTTCTGGATGCTCCCAGTCTGAGAAACATCTGGTTTCTCAGAGATCCAATTAAACTATTGCCTCTTGTTTGTGCTGAGCATTTGACTTTAAAATAAGCATGGCTCTGCCCTTGGAGGCTTCACCCAGGAATATGGCTCTGGGCATCTTTTTCCCAGAGGAGGTGAAATGAAAGAAAAAAAGATGTTGCAGGCTCTTGGGTGGCAGGCAAGCAGTGGCTTATGTCCCTGCACAAGAATGTTGTGATCATGCTAAGCAGAGGCATACGGAACCTTTTTGTTTTCTTTTGTTTCATTTTATTTGTTTAAAGTGCAGATCTGGGTAAGCTGAGGTTTTTCCAAACAATTTGCCAAGCAGAATAAACTCCTTCATTTAAATTAGGGCAAGATACCAATTATCTGACACTCCTTTCAATATTTTGTATTTGGGGAAAAAATTTAGTTTGCCTCAAACTAATCTAAAATGTTTAACTATGGAATTTGGAAAGAAAAAAAAAATAGAAGTCTTACATTTCCTTAAAATTTGAAAAAATATTTTTTGAGGCAATCTTAATTTTTCTTTTTAATGCTGAAGAATGAGATGTTTGCACAATACCAAAGGTGCAGAAAATATCTATTAGTTCACTTTCATTGCTAAGTTCACTCCCTTTTTATGGAAAAAAAAGATATGGAAATTCTCACTGCTGAATACAGAGTGGTGGTTCTGCATTGAAAACTTAAAAATTAAGGACAAATCCTGAGGCTGCTGTGGAAGAGTATTACAAAGGTAATGTTCTATGTATGAAATAAACACTTTGAGTTGTCTGTGTTGATTCTATCTGACTTGATGAAGTTTTCTTTTTAAGGAAGGATGGTTGCTAATTCTTTTAGATCTTTAAAATTCAGGATGAATAAAGACATCACAGAATTTTTTCTACTGAGTCATTCTTCCCTTCCCTCCTCTACCTGCTCCCCTCCCCCTCCAAAAAAAAAACCCCAAAACAGTTTTCTTAAATTTATGGTTCCCTCTCCAAGTGAGGGATTGAAATGTCCAAGGCACTGAGTAAGAGGCCTGTCCTAAAACAGATGAATACTTTGGTATGAATTCTATGAATAAAATGACCAAGAGAAATTTTCTCTCAAATAACCTTTTCTTTCGTGGTTCTTACATGATTTTATTATTAAAAGAATAATAAGTTAAATCTCAGGACAGCAGTGCAGCAGAACTGTTATCCTCGTATTAGAGGTTCACTACAATTCATCTCTTCAGAGAAATATCTTGTTAGTTCAGACTGTACATAAGCAAATTGAATTTAGTCATTTCAAAGCCCTGGGGTATGCCTGAAATTTTACCATGATGCTAGATTGCAGCTAGATTGAAAATCCCATTTGCATATTGCAAACATTTATGTTTGCAACATAAAACAATACAGAGCTATTGGAAGGAATATTAGGAACTTGAGCTGGTGTGCAGGTTGGCATGATGTCATCAATTTCACCATCATGGTATTAGCAGGAAAGTATTTTGATGAAGGGGACCCTTTGCTTCATTCATTATTAACTGTGATAAAGAAAGCGAACTTTAGCAGATTAAAAATTCTCATGTGGACTCTGTATGAGAAATCCATATGAATTACTGGAGTTCTAAGAACATTTAACAATTTTGCTGTGTCCTGCCAGGTTCTAAAGAATATCAGAATGAATACATTCATCCTTGAGTTTGTTTACATTCTCATGTTACAGGTGCACTCCTTTGTAGATATAACACAGTTTATTTTGATTGCGGTTTTGGATTTTCACCCCCAAAAAGGGGTGAACTGTGAAAAAATCCTGACTTGCACTTCATTCTTTTGATCTTTTGACACAGATCATAGCAAATCACCATATGCAGTCTATCTCTTTTGCATCTGGAGGTGACCCGGTAAGCATTTATTTTTAAGCTTTCTCCCACACAGATAATGCTTCGAGAACCGTGTGACAAAATTTATTGTATAGCTTTCTGAAAGAAAAATACAACCACCTTAGCTCCTGCTTCTTGTTTCATGAATTCTTCTTGATTGTTGCCATCAAACTCTTTTTGAGGGAAACTAATGTCAGGCAGTCACAAATCCTGCTCTTTGAATGACTGAAAGGAAAAGTATCAAGGGCTGCAAACATTCATATAAAAACTGGTAAGTGGAGCTCCATTTTTCATTGTAGGATAAGCAAATGGGTATTGTGTGAATTTTCATCCCAAATGTTTTTTATTTTGTCGTCTTTGCAGTAACATACAGTTATGTTGCAGGTATATGTATAGGTTTTTTTCCTTTTTGTCTTGAAGAATACAATGAAGAGTGCATTAAGTACTGCCTCCATGTATACTCATTACACACAAGCAGTTTGAAGACTGGCTTTCAGAAAAGGCTAGATCTTTCTTTGTAATTTTGCTAAGTTTTTAGATACACCTACACATTTGATTCATTTTAGATCGAAGGACAAACTCTGGTTGTGCTTTATCCTGTCTTTATGAGTGGCCCATCCAAAGGCATAATAAATGTGCTCTAAAAGTATTTCTCCTTTACAAAGAAGCAAAAGAACTGTAAAACAGGACAGTGCTTTCTTCATAACCTTAGGAATATGAGATCATTTAAGCCTAGACTAATTGTATGAACCTACTTTTTGCTCTGTCATATTATCTTATCTGTCACAGAGTACAGTAAGGTGACTTACAGCCTGCCTTTGTAAGCTATTTCTCAGTTAAGCTGTTAAGTTGAAGACTGGTGGCATTTCCCCTGTGCATTTTACTGTCCTTGGTAAACATAAGGGCAAACATCAATCTTTGAATAGCTCTGCTGAACTCAGTTAAGTTCCAGAAGGGAAAAGGACACCATGTCATAATAATCTGAGGAACAAAAAATGGATTAACAGCAGCTTTCAAATACAACAGATTGCAATGGATGCTGCAAATGAACAATTACTGAAGTAGGCAGAGGAGTGATTAGCACAGATCTCTGCCTCTATAAGAAGATTCTTTGCTCCCCATCTGCCATCCCAAAAGCTAAGTTGCACACTGCCCACTGATAGAGTGATTTACCAGAGAAGAGGAGAAAAGCAGTAGCGAATGAATTTGGAGTACACAGGCTCTTCTAAATGTTTTGAAGAGAAAATTATACTGCTGTGAGTCAGTGAGCTAGCAGAGAAATCGAAAGGTATGGCGTGAAGAGAGCCTTTGAGAGACAGCGAAATTGTGATGTTACTTTCTCAGTATGACCACTCATATGATGTCATCCTGGAGGTGGAATGGGTAGGTGTGACACTGTGCAGGCTCATCTCAGGTGGCTAGACTTTAAATCAAAAGCTGCTTCATAAATGTTGTGGTTCGGTGATTTTTTGTTGTCAGTATTCCGCATCAGAACATCATGTGGACCAGCGGCAGTTAAAGAGTTAATGTTCTGGTCCCGTTTTCTGCCTTTTATGGGCATCCTGATGGGAGGAGAGGGGCGGCATCCCTTGAGGACCTTTCGGGAAGAGGAAGTGAGGTGGAGCTCCGGAGAACCGCGGGGGCTGCCTCTCTTTCCGGCTGCAGTCAGCCGCGTGTTTCTCTCGCACCGTCTTGGTTTGACTCACACTTTCAGTGCTCTTGTCACTCTCGTTTTGTTTGATTTGGTTAATTTAGTAAATTACCGTTCCTCCTCAGATCGTTGCCAATGTGCCTTCTCAATTAAAACTACCTGCTAGTTCTCTGCCCTTCTCCCTCTCCCAGAGCTCACGCAGCCGGGGGGGGGGGGGGGGGGGGGGGGGGGCGGGTCGTGTGGCAAACTGTTAAGTTTCCTTCTTTTTTAAAATCTTTTTTCCTGGGGCCTGTGCCCTCCCTATCACGGACTTATATCTAGGGATAACCCCGTGACAACTGCTGGTGGTTCCTTTGTGCCAAGAGCACAGGAGAGAAGGCGAATGTTGGGTATGTGATGCAAGGTACTGCTTTATTAACCCACCTGTAAGGAATTCAGACAGAACTTTAATCAGCCCCTTAATTGTGTCCACTTGGTTGAAGGTTGGTGTCAACAGACCTCATCCACAAATCACAGTTGAGTCCTAGTCCATACACTCATCTCATTGTATAAGATTTCAGATGTAGGCATAATGGCTATACTGCACAAAATGTGAGAAGCTGAGATCTGTGCCTGAACTACTCCAGGGAATACTTCCCTTATAGTGAATTTTGAAGTTTGATTTATTCAGAAGTGGGTTTGCCACTACTCCTCGACCTATCCGTTTTTTCTACTCAGGCTTTCTGCCACACGTTTTTCCTAGCTATTAGCTTTGCAACTTTCCTTCTACTCTCTAAGTGTTAATTACCTTCATAACTGAAAATATATCCAGCAGAAGAGTGTTCCTTGGTCTTGTAGAACTGTTTGAATACCATCTCATATTTGCAATATTTCTCTTTGCAATGAGTCAGACCTTAGTAGTGATGCTTAGCCAGTAATGTAAATACATCTTCTTATTACCCATGAATGAACTACACTGCTCAATATTTTTGAGGGCCATCAGTTCTGCTTTTTCTGTCACAGACCCCATTGCTTATTTGTATTTTGAAAAAAACTCTCTGGGTACTTGAAAGATGAGGACTTGACATTTCTATTCACCTCTAAATTAGGCCTTATCCACATCATTCTACTAGATTTGTTTAATTGATTTTCCAGGACCTTGAAAGAGATTTTTAAGTTATGCTGGAATAGACCATCGTACCAAAACATGTAAGTGTTTTTATTCATTTTAAGTTGTGCATAACATGTCATATTGAGCCCATACTCCCAGGAATATGTACTCTGGACTGTGATAATTTGATTTAACCTGTGCAAATTTTTTGCATTCAATGTCGCTAACTTTTTTTCAGGATACAACTGACTATGTTGCATACGTAGCTAAGGATCCTGTTAATCGGAGAGGTAAGTTAGAAATGTCTGTTTGGCATCTATTTTCCCTGGAGAAACATGGACTATTTATGATGTAATTCAGACTTTTTTGCTCCCTGAAAAAAATAAACGTAGCCCAATAAAACATTGGCTTGGACAGAGTAATGGAACAATTGTATAGCAATAAAGAACATCCATATGCAAGGTGTTTCTGAAACCTGGAAAAGGCCTTTTCTGTCGTTCATTTCTAAATTTCACTCAAATTTTCTTCATCTTTTAAATCAAAAGCCAGTCTGCACAAGCTTCTAGTCAACAGCTGCCTCAATCAAGATGCAAGAAGCATCTTGATTAACTCTTGTGATTAGGAGGCTGAATCTGTCAGAGCTCAATTCATGACTTATTCTTCCTGGTAGAATCAGATATTTTTACTAAGTGTGAGCTTTTGAACCAGCTTGCTGGAGGCTGTAAATCTTCTTTCTCTGTGAAGTTTTATTAATGCAGATTCCAGGTTCTATTTCACTGTCAGTGAAAAGTCAGGAATAGGGAACCTGTTGCTGATTGTGTTCAAAGACTGAGATCTGGTACAGTCTCAAATATAATAGCAAATTAAAAAAAGTGTGAGTTACAGTGTGTAATAATGGATACATAAAACATTCCTGCTTGTAATGCAGAAAGCATCATAGGTCTTAATACTAGATTCAGAATATTGTATAACGTACCTGAGAATCTATTTATTATCATAGATTCATAGAGGAAAAAGACTAGCTCCAAAGCATGTCCAAAGTGGTCCATATTAGCCAGCTTTCTTGGTTGCTTCTTCCCTTGAGGGTTCTACCCCACAGTACTTACCAAGCAGACCCTTGAAAAGGCCAAGCCTGCTCAGCTGAAGTCCAGGGTATTGAGCTTGTTGTGTGCTCTCCTTACTGTTCTAAGAATCTTGAAGTCTTGAATTTCACGGTCACTGCAGCCAAGGCTGCCTTTGAGCTTCACATACCCCACATGCTTCTTCTTATTGACAGGAGCGAGGTGCAGCTTAGCACATCTCTGTTTTGGTTCCTTTATCACTTGGAAAACAACCTTACCATCAACACATTCTAGGAGATCTCCTGGATTGCTTATATCCTTCTGTCCCTCCAAAAGATATCAGAGTTGTTGAAGTCCCCCATGAAGACAAGGTTGTGTGAATGAGAGGTTAACTGTCTGTTAGTAGAAGGCTTCATTTGCTTGCTTCTCCTGGCCAGGTGGCCTATAGCAGGCCCCCAATATAATGTTAGCAATCCTTTCTTCCTTTTAATCCTTACCCATGAACTCTTGTCAGCTCCTCGTTCATCCCTGGACAGAACTCAGTGTGCTCCAGCTTGTCACTGACATAGAATGTGACATCTCTGCTTCACCTCCCCTGCCTGTCCTTCCTAAAAAGCCTTTATCCTTCCATTCCAACACTGTAGTCATGGGAGTCTGGGATAAAACTAAAGTGGGATAATATTAGTGAAAACAAATTATGGAGTGGTTAAATATTTTATAGTTGGTGTTGTTATTAATATTTACTAATGTCTTTATAAGCTCAACTTAAACCTCAGAATTTTCTTGCAGCTTGTTATTTTGAGGTAATTACAGATGAGTTTTTATGAGGTTCACAGTCTTTATGGACCTGTTAACATTGTGGAACTGATTTGTGCTCTCATCTATTACAGACATAAGCTACAGCAATTTTATTTAACCGTTAAATATTCCATTGTTTGAAGTTCACTGTGCTTGCTTTAGGGTTTACTGAAATACACATACCGTGAATAGGGCAACTATGCCTGACATGGAGATGCTTTGTCACAGGTCAGCGAATCCCTGCTGCACTGCATATCCCTGCTGTACTGCATGTACTCTAACATAAGTAACAGCTTCCATGTGTTAATCTTTTTCATGTAGCTTGTCATATACTGGAATGCTGTGATGGCCTTGCCCAGGATGTCATCAGCACCATTGGGCAAGCATTTGAGCTTCGATTTAAGCAATACTTGCAGTGCCCCTCTAAGATACCTACTTTCCATGATAGGTGAGTATGATTACAGAAGATTGCTAAGGAATCTACTACTTCATATTTATTTATTAAAATGTGCTGTAGAAAAAAATTGCTGAAGAGGAAAAGGATTTACATGCTTCAGAAAGAGAGTTCTGCTAAATTGCAAATCAGGTTTGCCTATTTAATATGAAAAGAACACAACCATTTTAAAAGAATGCAGTAAATCTGGATTCCATAGTACAGTTACTAAAATGATCATGTATTCTCTGTTTATATGCAGAACTGGATGGCTAAAAGTGAGTGTAATTTGTGACTTTTCCTTATTGTTGTTACTCTCATATTCAATTTAGATAAAGTGAACTAGAGTTGCTGGGCTTCCAGTATGACTAGTGATGTAAACAAATGTTAAATTCCGACTGAAATCACAGATTCAATCTCTTGATTTCATGAAGTTATTCCATAGTTACTTGAATAACTTTGAAGATTTACTAGTGCTAGAGTAGATAAAATTAAAGACAATGATTTAGAGCTTAGTCAGTCAATGAAGTAATAATACAACAAAGGATACCATGAAATTAAATATTTTGCTAATGCAGTTTTTACTGACTGTTGAAGGTAAGTAAAAACATCCTTTACTCAGACTAAGGAATTTCACCCATTGCAAAGGGAGTTTTCAAAAAATTAAAGCAAATTGTCCAAGAATGAGTCTGCTGCGCAATCCATCATTCCTTCCTGACTTATAATGGTATCTGAGTTTTCCAAATAAGATGCACAAGTGATTCCCTAACAAGCAGTTTCAACATGCTGCAAGTATCTGTAAGTGCTTTGTGAGTGAAGGATAAAATGAAGCACTCATTTTCTTACAGGATGCAGAGTTTTGATGAGCCATTGATGGAGGAAGAGAGTGCAGCAGCAGAACATCCCTATTATAATAATATCCCAAATAAAATGCCCCCTTCTGGTGGCTTCATTGATGCCAGACTCAAAGCAAAGATTCGCACTGCTGCAGACACAACTCAGGTCAGTGCAATTGCATTTCTGCCTTCTCACAGATGGATCTGAAAAAAAGTCTTATAAAGTGGATACATCAGGAACACAAATGTGTGGCTAGTTCAGTTTTGAATGATCAGTGAAGATCTAGGAGACAACAGACTAGGCATTTTGAGAGCAAAGGGAGATGAATTCTTTGTGGTGTTAAAAAATTATGTAGGTTCAAGGAAGATAAACCCATTCAGGATTACTGTATCTGTAAACACCACATCTGTCTCAGTATGAAATGAGTGCACATTAACTGGAAAAATAATGATACAGAGGTTTTTGAACAGTCTAGCGTAGTCATTGCTAACAGTTACTTATGTTAATAACTCAGCAGCAATTAGTATTCAGCCAGATTCATACGTAGATCTTTCATCTCATACTGAAATGAAGCCTAATAAAATATTTCTGCCAGCATCGTGGTTGGAAGTTTAACTGCAGTACCTGCACAGCCATGTAAGTGTTTTAGATCCAGCCCAGTTCTGCTGAAATCTCTTAGGGCCCTGTCTTCAAAAAACATTCTCCTATCAATACCTGAGTGAGTCTTCCAGTAGCAATGTGACTCTTTCAGCTATGGAGAGTGCTTGGGGTGTCCATTCATCCTACATGTAGTTTCTTTTCCCATAGAATGTCAGGGCTGCCTAAGGAGGCAAATGCTCTGAAGTGTCATTTGAAATTAATAAAAGCAGGAATGAGTGAAGTTTTCATGAAGGTCACCAGTAATATCTTATTCCCACACACATTCCTGAAATGTATATTTTGACACAATAATAAATCAGAAATGAAGAATGGGAGTACACAGAATACAACCAAGGGAATTGTCCAAACCACTCATAATATACCAGACTGTTATAAAGATTTGCTTTGCACGTGTCCATTCTAGTTTGCAGCAGGAATGAAAAAAGAGAAGATCTATTACCAGAATCGTCACGTAGGAGACAAATTCAATGAAGACTGGCATCAGGAGACTGTTAAGCAAGGTGAGACTTGCTAGTTCTACCTTTAATACTGCAAAACATCTTGGGTGTGCAAAACATGTGGCAATCTGATGCCTTAAAGCCTTAAGGCAATGAAATGCACTTCCCTGATTCCTTTTGATAAGAATTTATTGCTGATATCAACGTAAATCATATGATAAATGCCCCTGGATAAATTATTTAATGTACAGTTTTATAAAAATGTATATTTTGCAGAACAACTCATATATGGATTTAGCCCAATCTTTCCGCCATATAGCTTGCCATGTCTTAAAGTGTGTATTATTTAAAGACAGGCTTTCTGGTCTTTTCGGAAAATTTGATCCATGAGAATATGCAAGATGGAGTTTCCATCTTCCAAAAGAAGGGCCTAAAGTCAGCAGCTATTTTAAAACATAGAATAATGCATGTGTTTGCGCATGATTTGTGCTCTAAAAGTAACAAATACTGTGTGGTTTTCATTTTTCTGTTGCCTGTAAATTATAAGGAAATCACATCAAAATGTCTGCATAAAATTTTACCCCATCCATTCTTAAATGACAGCTTTGAGGTGTTTCTGGGGACTCTATTTTCAAATGCTGGAATATGGTATCTGCTGTTAATGTGCAGCAATTTGGGGATTTTGTTTTATTTCCTTTCCTCACAAGTCCCCAGCTGAATATTAATTTTGAAACTCACAATCCTTATTTACAAAAAATTCCCTTCCTTCTTGAATAATTAAAATTCATTGAAACACAGTTCTGTCCACTCATCAGCATTTTTTCCTACAAGATTCATCAGTTACTATCTTTCCAGCTCCCATTTCAGCAAATTTTAAACCTATGGTGATGGGTTGTGATTTTATCATTTGGTCTTTCTAACAACACTGTTCTGTAAAATAAAAAAAGTAAGAAGAAAAAAAAATCTCTTAAATTTTCTTGGATCCCTAGATATTTATTGTATGCCAAAAGGGAAATCACAAGCAACCACTGCAGCAGAGATGCCAACGTATGTGAACACACAGCATATAAATATGGAAAGTCTACTGGCACTTCCAGCAGATGCTGAAAGTGACATCAGTGGAAACACAGATAGTACCAAAGAGAGCAGCCCAGAAAAGGATCTGTTCGATATGAGTAAGCTCCTTTTCTTTTCATTCCCTTTCTAACAGGAAAATCAATATCTTTATGCATTAATTCTGCATACAAGTAATTATAGAATTGGCCAGATGGAATTTTAGTGTTCCAGTGAACTTAAGATGAATTTTAGAAATCACAGGGGTTTCATATCTGACATGGTTAAAAATGCAGTTGACCAAAGTCTTGAAGCTAATTTGTACTAGATATGTGTTAGTCTGAGCTGAAACTTTTGTTGTCCACAGCATCATGGCTATCTGTGTCAGAAGGAAAATTAATCATGGACTTTGTCCTGCAGGAAAGTGAGTGAATGGCTTGGAGAACTTGCCTGCTCTAAGTATGTGTTACTAAAAAGCCAATGCATACAGCAAAAACTTTATGCAGCATGGAATCTGAGTGGGAAATCAGGAGAGTATGTTATCTTTTCCTCTGGGTAGGACTACAATCCTACCTAGCTATCTCTTTTGGCGTGGGAGTCAGCTTTCCCAAAGCCAGTATCTTATCTACTGTCTTAAAATAGAGATTTAAGCATCAGCATCAGCATTATTTTGCTGCTGATTATACCCATATACAGTGTTTTTAGTACTGAGTTGGTACTTAAAAAAAAAAAAAAAAAAAAAAGTGTGGGGAAAGTTGTTTGATGAATAGGAAACTTTTCTTGTTATTCTATTCTTTCTGTTGCCACTCAATAGCTGATATCATTTATTCAATTTAGGTCATATAACTAAAAGGCAGTGAGACAAAGTGATAGGTGCCTGCATGTTATGTATATAATAACCTGTCTCCATTTCTTATATCTCAGTCAAAACTGTCTTTCTCACATGCTTTCACTGATTTTAGAATGAAAGAAAGGGAGAGGGGAGAAAGTTAGACAGTGTACATATGTATGAAATAAGAAAAGACTGCTGTCTGAAATTATACATGTTAACATTGATTTGTAACAACTTTGCCCTTAAAATACAGACATGCTTACCTCTATACTAAACATATTCTTTTCCTAAAAATGAAAGCTGATTTCTCATGTTCCAGCCTGTGTTATACTTTGTTGACCATTGAAATATAATGGAAAAGTAGTATCTGAAAATATGTCAACTTGAACAAAGTTATTAATTTGTCAAGTTAAACACAGGCTTTGTGCAGACTGTAACGTAGTGAAGACATACACAAAATAGATTCAAGAATTACCCAAATCATGACAGCTCTGTATGTGTCCTTTTAATTTGACCTAAAATAACTTCTCAGTGGTTCTCTACAAGTATGGCTACGTGTCCCTAGATTTAGAGCGGTCTATTCAGAGCTTCTGTAATGCTTCACAGTACTGCTTTGCATATATTCTTTAGTAAAACTAGCAGGCACAAAAAAAAAAAAGTCTTTATAATATGCTCTAGTTGGCCAGATGAAAATCTGGAAAGAGCAAATAGCTTCTATTAGTTAAGTATAGCCTATAATGAAGCATACACTGACCAATTTACTACTTCTTGACGCTTGACGATGGAACAGATATGATTATATTGACTTTGTGCACCAATATTATGCAATTTATTTGAAATGAGACTGAATGATGTAACTAGTAAGGCAAAAGGACAGCTTTGCTCTGTACCAGGTTATATAAATACAACTGTTGACAATGGCCATTTCTGAAAAAAATCAATGTTTCAAAAGCTCCTGCTAAGGTTCACTTTGATTTTTGTTACTATTTTTCTGCATGTCACATATTATTTTAACATATTACATTCCTTGGTCTTAGTATATGATATAAATCAGTAGGCCCAGCACCCCACCTTTCTCTCTTTTTTTCTCTAAAGATAAAGAGAAGCTGCTGGAACACAAAATAAGTACAGTTTAAAATGACTGGAATATCACTGTTTTGCAATTTGATTTACCTCTGAATAATCTTACACTTGTTTTATTTCCACAACCAGAACCATTTGAAGATGCCCTCAAGAACCAAACATCTGAGCCTGTGCTGAGTAAATTGACTTCTGTTGAATGTACTAGTCCTCTCTTATGTAGAGCTGCTGACTGGACTAGAACAGAAGAGCTGAGTATAGAGCCATGGTATCAAGGAGAGATGAGTAGGAAAGAAGCTGAACAGCTGTTAAAGAAATGCGGAGACTTCCTTGTGAGAAAGAGTACCACAAATGCAGGTTCTTACGTATTGACAGGCATGCAAAATGGACAAGCCAAACACCTTCTTTTGGTGGATCCAGAAGGAACTGTAAGTATGACTCAGTGATGCAGGAGGTTTCCATCTCTATTTTCTCTGAGTGTTTAATCTTATTTGCAACTGATTGTAATTACAGCTTCATGTTAAATGCAAGTTACATCCATTTCTCTCCTAATGCCTAGGCAAAGATGTACTGCATGAATTCTGCACATTGTAGGGGTAGGTGAAGACATCCTGCTTGACTTAGGTAAACTGCAGGAAGCCTAGGGATGAGGTTCCCCGGTTTTGGCCACTGCAGTATTGTCATACTCAAAAGTGTAGCTGAGTCCTTATCTAATCGTCTAGCTGCTGGTGGCTATGCAAGTTCAACCAGCAGTTTTGAGGACCAACACCAAGTCCCCCAAGCCATGAAGTTTTCCAGCCCTGAAAGCTAGAAGACAGATGGGTTAAAAGCTACACTATCACTTTGTTGCACAGGGACTCCTTTAACTGATGAAGCCTCCCAGCAGCAGCACAGTGAGTGCCAAGAACTTCTTGTTTTTCTAGCTGTCCTGTTGTACTTCTAGGGAGGCTGAGGCAGGCTTCAGTGAGCACTGGCGTACATTAATCTTGGCTCCTGGTAGCTGGCAACTGGCAAATCCTCTTATGCTATAAAGAACAGCATTAAAAGCCACAAAGTAAATGAGAAACTCCTGGGAACGAGATGGCCTGTTGGCATCCATTTCAGCTGAGAAACCTGCAGAAGGAAGACCCAGGAGAATTGTGCTAGTCTTGTAGACTCTAACCAGAATAACCATAGCACTCTCTGGCCTACTTACTTACTTACTTTTGACACATGAGGGCAGTCAAAGACTGTTTTTAACACTTTTATGTGCCAGCTTCTGGCTTGGGCTTTACCGGTAGGAATAGCCTCCTTCTTTAAAATTTTGGTGGGTGCTGTCTGACTCCTGCAGTCAGACCCACTAATTCTTTCTTAAAAATAAGCACTGTAGGCTACTTTCTGCAAGGAATATGTTGCTATGTGGTGTGGCAAGTGCAGAGATTTGAAGCCAGGAGGTATGGAAGCCTGATGATAGTTGTGTATCTGTTACTCCTCTGGCTGGCAGGGAGTACCAAGGCCAGAGATGCTTTCTGCACACCTTGGCAGGGCTCTCCAAGTATTTCTGCTGCTTTGCAGTGACTTTGGCTGACTTGGGAGGCACTACTCAGTAATGAGCTATATTTAGGTTAGTTGAGCTGTTTGTATGAATTGTGAGGACCCGACACAGCTCCTGAGCAGCTTTATTTGTAATTTGTCACAGTCATCCATAAAATGCGTGTGTGTGGTGGCATGTACTTCTCTGCATGGCCTCAGAGTGAAAAAAAAGCTAGTTCATACAAAGCGTGCCTAACAGCCACTTCACACACAGATTATCTAGGAGCATGTTACAGCCCCTCAAGGTCTGTTTTGAGAGCAGAGATAACTGTCCCGATGGTTCTACTCTGATCCAGCTCAAACAAACAAACAAACAAACAAACAAAACCCCACTTGCTCAGATAAGGCATGCTAAAGATAAGGACTGCGAACTTTCTACTGGGTTTAGGATTAGAGCTTGAACAGTAATGAGGATGATGTGTGCTGCTGATGGTGAGAAAGTTCTAACATGATTTGGAAAGACTGAAAGTATCTTGGCTTGAATATAGGTAGTGAAAGCTCCTGATGTTATAAATATATCTTAATTTGCAAAATATAGCTTTGAATAATGACAGGAAGTTGTGTTTTAAAGAAGAATAAAAAATCACAAGAGCCTTCAGTGAGGCAGCCATGTGTAACTGAGTGGAAGGCATCAAAGTTGCTTGTTTTTTCCTTTTCCTGTGACATTGTATCCCAAATTCTAATAATGTTACCAGAACTTTATTATGAAGACTGAAATATTTCAAGTGAGGTGCTCACTGAAGTACAGTATTTCTGGAAAGTTTTAACAGAAAAATAGATTATAAAAGTTGTTATCTATTTTTGAGAACAGTTGAAGGAAAATAGATGATATGCTTAATTTTAGAGCAGTGTCTATACACTTTTTCTTGCAACATCGTAGTGCTATCCCAATACAGAGCACTGTTTCAGCTTTACTCTGCCTTTGGAACTATATGCACGAAATAGTTTTAAATGTAAAAAGGAAAAAAATGTTTTGAGAAGATGAAGTTATAAATTTAAATATCTCTTTGTAATACAAATTAGGTTTTGATCTGTTCTAGCTGTGACTAGTTTACCTTGCAACATTAATTTTCTCGTATCACAGATGTAATAATTCATTCAGGATACTGGTACAAATGCTAGTAAGAGGGCCAGAGAAGATTACATTCCTTGTCCTAATGTGTTTCAGTTTCAAAGTCCCAAGCAGATACTATGCGTGCAGCATGGGGCAAACCCAAGTCAAATAGCAGTGGTATTTGGTCACCTTCAGGGAAAGGGAATTTTCCAGTGGAAGCCAGCGATGTTTGTTGGTACCTTCTTTGTTGAGGAAAAGGCAGAGATGCTAAAGTGCACAGAGAGGTTCTGATGTTGCCAGAAAAAAAAAAAGTAAAAAAAAAAGTAAAAAAAAAAAAAAAAAGTGAAAACACCTGAAAGGAACCTTTAATTTCTTGAAGAAGAAAACTTGAGCTAAAAGTCCATCTTATGGCAAAGAAAAATATTGTATGGAAACTTTTCAAGCAGATCAGGTGTGTGCTTTCATCAGGTGTAAAAACAGTATACTGGCCCATAGATAACTAGCCAAATATCTATTTGGAGAGACTAAAAGAGTCATAGACAAAACAGAGATCTATTTCTACTGTTTCTGATGGAAGAGCAGCCAGTGTCTAAGACATGATCAATTGTCCCATTTCATCCTTAGAGAATTTGGTGTAAAGTTAAGGGAAAAGGTATTTTGCTGCTTAATCTATCTTCTTGCATCCTTTTTTTGAAGGTTCGTACAAAAGATCGTGTCTTTGACAGCATAAGTCATCTCATCAATCATCACCTTGAGAATAATTTGCCAATAGTTTCTTCTGGGAGTGAACTCTGCTTGCAGCAGCCTGCTGAGAGGAAACACTGAGTCGAGATAATTATTTCAGTTTTTGTAACTTGCAAGCTATAACTGGTGAAAACTGCAGATCTCAAAATGTATGTTAAAAAAAAAAAAAAGCATATTCCCCTATAATTCACCAGTATATTTTCTTTAGTTTTAATAAACCCTCTTTCACATGAAAATTCTCAATGCTTTATGTGGATATGAAGCCACAACAGAAGGCTTTCTAAAAAAGTAATTTCAATAAAATTGTTCCGATTCTCTGTTGTGAATATTAAGTGTATATATACGCATTATACATAAATACTACAAGTATTTATATTTTTCAAGTCAGTCTGTTGATGTTATAGGACTAATCTTCTGTTACATGTGTTTTTAACAGAAGAAAATCACCAGTTGTGATTGTTCAGATAAAAACAGAATACAGCAGTCTCAATTTCTCAAGGGAAAAAAAAAAGAGCATCTTATTTATGATTTTATCTAAGAAGCACAACTACGGGGATAACCATTGGATCACACTGCTTAAATACTATGTAAGGAGAATGAATTCAGCAACTTGTACTCCAACTCAGAATTTTAACATGAAAGGATTTTTAAAGTGTTATTCAGTGTTATCGATATCAAAACCATTTTATCTTTCTGATGTCAAGTCTGAATTCTTGTATGATACTACTCAAAGCATTTATATGTAGCTTTAACAATGATTTGGTGTGATCTCTTTGTGTACAAGATGTATGCACTTGGTTGTTTTTAGTTATAATATAACAATATTCTGCAACTTGAATTTATTAATTTGAGTGACAAAGTTATTTGATTAATTTGATAAAGTTCTCTAATTGTAGTGAAGAGGTAGGTATCCTTGACTGTCAGTTTCCAGTGGAGATGTTATATACTGATTAGACAAGTTCCAGTATCTTGTGTTTAGTTGGTTTAATACAAAACATGAATGGTTGGTAAAAGACATTTGAAAAAGCTTTTCTTCTTACAAAAAATGAAAACTATTAACACTTAGTGATCAGTTTTGCAAATGATGTAATTTGTGTTTACCAAGTTACTAGGTGCCTCTTCCAAAGTATAACTTGACTTTGGCCTTCAGCAAGTGATAGTACAAATATCAGGTTTTCTCTATATATCAAAGATGCATTTCTGGCAAATACATCCTTGACTTTTGGTACTGGGAAACGTTTTAATGAAGGTTTGTGCTGTTCAAGTGCAAGGACTATATGAATTTATCTTCCTAGAACCTGTAAAATGTAACATCATTGAGCCAAATTCAATAGACACAGTTCCTGTTATGGCAGAGTTTTTAGCCAGAGCCACGATATAGCCTTCAGCATTTCAAGGTCACAGGCATCTCAAATCAAATAATAGACTTGATTTGTAATGGCCAAAACTCAGCAGGATAAGTCTCGGTTATGTACCTGCCTGTGCTGAAGTAGCTTTTAAGATATTTGATTTTAAGGATTTTGAAAGTTCAAGAATTTGTTATATTAAGATCAAACCGATGAAAGAATTAATTTGGAATGAATTCAGACAACATCATTATATATGTGTGTGTGTATACATGTATATATATAAAACAGAAAGAAAAATACCCAAACACAAAAAAACTTACCACAACTTCAGGTAATTTTCTTAGACCTTTTGCTCTGAAACATGGTGAAGTTGCAACTTTGGAAGGTTTTTTTGTTCACAAGAACAAAAATTGGTAAGGTCTCTAAGACTGATCGTGTGACCTATGCCATAAAAGTACTTCTGATTCTGTAAACAAGACATTCTGAAACCAAACTAAGACATTCAGTGAACCAAATGTTTCCAATTCATTTTGATTGCAGCTAGTTATTAGGTTTCTAGGTCGGGGTGCAAGCTGAAACCAAAGGAAAGAAATCAAATAAGCATGGCACAAATTAGCATGGAGTGGGACAAGTAGAATTCTTAAGATCTAAGTCCTTTTACCAGGTTGGAATTTGCAAGGGAAAGTGAAGAGATCCATCAAACTGATTTTATTGATGAGAATCCATTCTTACCATATTTCCATTTGAAGTATCTCAGTTGACACTTTTTTTCATCATATAGAATACCTTTTTCTGGGCTTCCACCTTCCTACAGCCATGAAATGGGAAGTTTTTACCATTATATCACTAGCCATAAGAGAAGGCCACTTCAGAAAGTGTCAGGTGCCTAATTTCTTCAGATGCCTTCAAGAACACCACCTGCTACCTATCTCTGTTTTAGATTCCAAAGTATCTTGTCAGCATATGCATGGAAAAATGTGACAAGACACAGGTGTATGACTGAAGGCACTAAATAAAGACTGAAATAAGCAGCTAATTTTTTTTACTGTTGTCCTAATGGTAGCTTTAATAACTTAAAAGCCAAATAGCTGTATGTTTTGGAAATTAAAGCAGGTGTCAGAGACATAAAATGAAAAATCTTGGCGGAAATATACAGTTCCCCAAACTGTATGTCACACACCGCTTCCAGATTTTCAGACTTTTTTCCAGAGGCTGTTTCAGACTGTTCTGTCAACTCATCCAATTTGCCAAGTATGTTCACTGATGTTACAAGGGTTACATGTAGCTTGATTGGGCACAGTTTAGTCCTAGGTGTTTTGGGCTGCAATAATGTCCTGCTGTGGCAATGTTCTGGGAGACTCTGGTCAGTAGCAAGGTCCAGACCCTTTTCTAAGTCACTGGGAATGATCTTGAAGGTAGAAAGAAGGAAAAGCACAGGGGCAAATCAAAGTTCCTTTTTTTTTCTTTCTTTTTTTTCTTTTCATTGTTGCTCTCATAGATTTGGCTTTCCTTCATATGACAATGCTGTAAAAATTGTACAGCCATTTGGATACAAGATCCTAAACTGTTGCCATTAGAGTTGAGGAGTCAGGGCTCATTTCTGTGAGAAACACCATTGTAGGCAACTGAAGATACATGAAGTTATGAGACTGATTTGAATGGTGTACAATTAACTAAATATGGTACTGCCAACACCATTATAATTTGAGCCTTTTAATGTTTGCCTTTGGTTATGAATCCCCTCTCCTTTTGATTTTCTTTGCCATGTCCCAAGGGATACACACTTACTTGTTTAAAAATATGATCATCATTTAATACCATGACTACAAGAGTTAGAATTTAAGTGAAAAAAAAATCTACTAGGCTCAATAAAAATCACTGAGATTAGACAATATTGTGGTATCCTTTTATATTTTTCCAGGGAATAATTGAGAAGCTAGAAATGAAACTGAATCAGAAAATCTCATTAACATTTTTGATTCCAGTTGCATTGCTATTATCTGAACTACAAGCAATGAAAATACATTACATTCCTTTAAACAAGACAAGTGAAACAAGTACTTATGATTGATTTTTTTAAAGATTAATTATTCCAATAATAGCATTTTCCATTGAAGCTGAGAGGATACATTGGACAGCTGAGGTTTAGTCACATCCCAAATTTTCAGGTTACCAGTTACTTCAGGTGCTTTATGAGCAACCCCAAAGGTAGAAAACATGAGCTGAAAACTGAATTCCTTCTAACGTCAATGAGAGTTTGTCCCTCACTCCCCTCCATAGTAAAATAAAAGGATGTTCAGGTTGACTGGTCTTCAGTGCAGAAGGGGATACAGTCTCCATGGTTTATTGTTTAAATGCCAAGGACTTTGCACATGAGGACAGGGTAGAAGAGAAGGCTGATGTGACGCCCATCTACAAGAAGGGCTGTAAGGAGGATCCGGGGAACTACAGGCCTGTCAGCCTGACATCAGTGCCAGGGAAGGTCATGGGACAAATCCTCCTGGGAGAGATCACACGGCTCGTGCGCGACATTCACGGGATCAGGCCCAGCCAGCATGGGTTCATGAAAAGCAGGTCATGTTTGACCAACCTCATCTCCTTCTACGACTGGGTGACCAGACTGGTAGATGAGGGAAAGGCAGTTGATGTAGTCTACCTAGACTTCTGCAAAGCTTTTGACATGGTCTCTCACAGTATCCTTCTGCGGAAACTGGCTGCCCGTGGCTTGGACAGTTTTACCCTCCATTGGATAAGGAACTGGCTGGAGGACCGCGCTCAACGGGTGATGGTCAATGGAGTGAAGTCTAGCTGGAGACCTGTTACAAGTGGTGTCCCCCAGGGGTCAGTACTGGGGCCCATCCTGTTTAATATCTTCATTGATGACTTAGATGAAGGGATTGAGTGTACCCTGAGTAAGTTTGCAGATGACACCAAGTTGGGAGGTGGGGAGGCCCTGCAGAGGGATCTAGATAAGCTGGATCGCTGGGCTGAGGTGAATGGGATGAGGTTTAACAACGCCAAGTGTCAGGTCCTGCACTTTGGCCACAACAACCCCATGCAGCGTTACAGGCTTGGGGATGAGTGGCTGGATGAGTGTGAAGAAGAGAAGGACCTGGGGGTGTTGGTTGATGCTCGGCTGAACATGAGCCGACAGTGTGCCCAGGTGGCCAAGAGGGCCAACGGCATCCTGGCCTGCATTAGAAATAGTGTGGCCAGCAGGAGCAGGGAGGTGATCATCCCCTGTACTCAGCACTGGTGAGGCCGCACCTCGAGTACTGTGTTCAGTTTTGGGCCCCTCACTACAAGAAAGACATTGAGGCCCTGGAACGTGTCCAGAGAAGGGCAACAAAACTGGTGAGGGGTCTGGAGCACAAGTCTTATGAGGAGCGGCTGAGGGAGCTGGGATTGTTTAGTCTGGAGAAGAGGAGGCTCAGGGGAGACCTCATTGCACTCTACAACTTCCTGAAGGGAGGCTGTGGTGCAAAAGGGTCCGGCCTCTTCTCCCAGGCAAATAGTAGGACCTGAGGAAACAGCCAGAAGTTATACCAGAGGAGGTTTAGGTTGGATATTAGGAGAAACTTTTTCTCTCAAAGGGTGGTCAGGCACTGGAATGGCTGCCCAGGGAGGTGGTGGAGTCGCCATCCCTGGTAGTGTTCAAGAGGCGCCTGGATGAGGAGCTACGAGATATGGTTGAGTGCTTGTGGTACTGATAGGAATGGGAGGGTGGTTGAACTAGATGATCTTGCAGGTCGTTTCCAACCTTGTGATTCTGTGATTCTGTACAGTAGCTTCCTCCACTGCAAATCCTACAGGGTTCTATCAGAAATCTATCTGCTGTACTTGTTCAACAAAAAGAAAAGAACAAAGGAGGTATGTCTTAGACTAGGATTTCAGTACAACTTACAGTACATTTACTGCCTACTGTTACCTGGCAACACTGAATTTCTAATATTCTGTTATCATTCTTCTTTCCACTACAAAATGCTCACATTTCTTATCATGGTCCCTAGGCATCAGGATGTGCAGTAAGAGGAGGAGAATTCATAAAATTTATATCACAGTGCAACTGTTGCTGGTATATCAAGAGCCAGCTACAGTATTCATCATAGAATGTATGCGTATTTTGATATTTGTAAGTAGTAAATGCTCCACTTCAAAGCAATGTTTTGCAGCCTCTAAGACATTTGCATCTCTAGAACAACTGCAATCCGTGCATTTTCTGACAATATATTACATATCAGCTTTCAAACCTTTGTTCTTAGAATCCCATATCTGTATGAAGTGGTGAAACAAAGAATTTTATGTAAACCACATTTCCCTTAAAAAAAAAGAGCTGAAGTAATAGCTACACTTTCCTTTTGATCTACCAGTCTCTCAATATGCTCATAAGAAATCCAAATATACATTTACCTAAATTGCTGAAAAATCATGTTGAAAAATCACATCTCTGTCTTTTTTGTGCAAAACTTTGTTTGCACCTATACACTCTCCATGCTGGTTCAAAGCTGTCAGGATATGGAGCTAATTACTGCTCAAATTCTTACACACACTCAATGTCTGAACTTTGCTCACATCCATGCTGGATGCAACTGTAACATGCACAAGGCTGGGTAGAGGATACAAGGGCATAATGATTTGCCGGCAGTTAACCAGAGACTTGGGGTGAGGCAAAAGGTGAAAAGCTGCCCAGGGAGAGAAGACCCTGGGGGTTAGAAGTATGAGGCTTGCCAACATGAACCAATAGGCATGTAAGCCACTAAGAAGACTAAAGATGTGTCACCAAATTATAAACATGCTGATTGGCTGATAGGGTTAAAGCAGAACCGCAGCAAGGGAAATTGCAAAACACTTGTGCAATTCCTAAGGCTCATCTTTTCTTGAGACACTCCCGATCTGTTCCTCTGCATTCTCCAATATGAGCATAATATATGGCTTCCACAGAGAGTGAGCAGTAGTTTTCAAAAACTTTTTTTGAAATCTCAATAAGGGGGATAAGAGATGCAGGTTTCTAGCCAAAGTACTGTATAGGGGAAAAGCTAAGGAAAGGGTGTTTAAAACATTGTTTGACAACAGCAGCAAGTGTGGAAAACAAAAAAAAAAAAAAAAAGGAAGATGAAACTAGATCATTCATTCCACTAACCCATTTTGTGGGAGATTCGTTGTAAGGAATGTAGCCTCAAATTCTGAGATTAAGATGCAGGCTTAGGTTCCTGTAGTAGTTATTGTGAAGGTTGAATAACAAAGAATAAATGACAGCTTGTCGTCCTTTTTCTTCAGTGAGACAAAAACTACCCAAAACACCCAAATACTCATTCTAAAACAGTGAATTTTTTCATTAACTGAAGTATGTGAAGATTATGATTGGTAGGAGATAAATATCCTGTGTTATGGCTAGACTGATGCTTCTAACTAAAGTTCTGCAGAGTTAAATCTTGAGAGAAGATGGGTTTCTTCTTTTGAGGTAAATGTTTCTCTTCATATTTTGTGGACAACAATGAAACAAAAAAGTGGCTATTTTGCTGTAAAAGAGAGTCTGACTATACATTTTATATTTATTAATATTTATTACTTTTAGAAACATTTTTAATTGAGAACTGCAGGAAAAAATAAAGTGTGTGGAAAAACAGATCACTTATACTCCCAAAAACTTCAGTGAATCTCAAGTTTTTGCCTGCCTGCTGATTGTAATATTCTAGTTATGGAGGCAAATCTTGTCTCTGAGGAAGTCCTTAAGCAACAGAATTTGTGTCATGTAAGTGTCATGCAGCTGTTTTCTGATTACTCAGTTTGTGTTTGATAAAACCAAATTAATAAAATAACAAGCACTGCTATCAACACTGAATGCATGTAAACTGGGCTTGAGTTTGTGCTCCTATGACCAGGTTCCCTAATAATCCATCTGTATCTATCTATCTATCTACTATCTACGTACCTACCTAGTTCCTACCTACCTACCTACCTATGGATTGGATATTGAATATTTTTAAGTTAATGAATTACACAGTAGCAATAGAGACCAAACATTTCAGAGGACAAGGTAGTATGTAAAAGTACTGGTCAGCTACGCTGACTTTACATTAGAGCAGTTCTATTCACTTTGACAGAAATGACTTTGATTTCTACTTCTCTTTTTTGCCAAACAACATTTTCTTGATACAAGTACAGGCCCATACTCTTTGCAGCAGATGATGTGCTCACCTGAAAAGGTAGCTCTCCTGCTTGATGTGTGAGTGAGAGTAAACCAGTTCCACAGTTTCTCCATGGAGAGTGACTGCAAGGATGACGTCCATACAAGAGCGGCTGTTTAGTGTGCTGAGAAGAAAGCCTTCACGTTTGAAGGACATTTAGCTGTGCTGACACTCCCCAGTTTCCCTTCCTACACCACCAGAAGTTCCTTGCAAAGACCCTTCTCTCAAAACCAATGGGAGAAAAGTTTAGCCCAAGAATGCCATTGCTCTTGGTGAGAACTGCACCCCTGAAGTCCACATAGGTGCACATCTCTTCACAGTGCTTGCAGCCTGCTGAAGGCTGCATTAAGCCTCATGGCCCAGAGACACCCAAGCAGAAACCTCTGAATCACTGCTGCTGTCCTTGCTGCTAGTGAGTTTTTGCCATGAGAAGAGATTGTCCCCAAGTCCAGGGACTATGCTTCCAGCATAGTCAAGGGCTGATCTGTGCTGCAGACTATACTGCAAATGGTGGGTTAAATGACACTGATTGGTGCTAGCAAACCTCAGCTCAGGAGGGGTGGATTGGCTGCCCTCAGGATCTGAGGTCTTTTTGGCACCTAACATTTCACACCCAGGTCTATTTTCCATTTCCTCACTAAAGCTATTGGAAAAAAACAAATGCTTCAGGCAATGCTACACCCAATGCTACAGTTGCTTAGTGCAAAATGTGCCTTTTCTATGGATGTTGCAGCCAGTCAGTGGGCCCTCAAAGCAGTTATGGTCAGAGAGCTTCCAGAACAGGCTGTTTTCTGCTGGCTCCAGACTGAGAGAATAGTAGCCTTGGGCTCGCTGCTGCTCTCACAGATAGTGCTTTCAGGCATGATATCCAGAATTTACATCTGTGTTTTCTAAGGAAGGCCAGAATCATTCTACATTTCCTGAAAAGATGATTGCTACATAACAACTTTGCTCAAAGCTTTGAGATTCAAATAAAAGTTTCCTAAATGTTTATGGCACCCATACTCGATAAGACTCAGCAATTGTGAAAGCTGAATATGAAGGGTGGTGGTTTTTTTGTTTGTTTGTTTTTTTTGTTTTTGTTTTTTTTTCCACCTTAGATGGTTGTATTTCAATTTCTTTTGCAATCTGGAAAAGAAAATCCCAACCCATGAAATTGAAATATGAATGAAATGTGAACTTGCTTTACAGTTTTTGTTCCATGTAAAACCAGTAATGAATGAAGACTGACTCAGATTTCTGGCAGACTCAAATCATCCAAGATATTAAAAAGTTTGGATACTACACAGCATTTTAAGGAACTTTATAAAATTTTAGGGGGGTAGAGCTACGTCCTAGTTGTTTAGGATCCGTAACTTTTAAGCCCTTGATTTATCCTACTCCAAAATTTTGCTATGAAATCTTCCCAAATTTGCATTTAACCTAATATATCTTGTACCTACTGAAGAAGGACCAGGAATCTTATTTTTATCAGTATTATGTAGATTTTATTATCAGTGTTCCATGAAAAAGCATGAGTACTAAGAACCTGCTTCAAGTATGCTGGGCAATGAAATACTCCTCACTTTCCAATTTCCTACCCTAAAAAAATGCAAAACTTAAAAAACAAAAACAAAAACCTCCCCAAATAAGAAAGTAGAGTGAGAGTTTTTTTTTGTGGTTTTTTTTTTTTTTTTTTAAATTATTATTGACACGTAATCATGTCTTCCATCGGTTGCTTGTATTGCTTGTACCATGCATCAACTAACAGCAGCTAAGGCTAGCACCCAGATGTCACAACTCGTACTTACAGGCATGTTTCTAGATTTTGGCTACTGAAATTTTTATTTTTCACTTAAATATGGAATATCACGTAACATCATAACACAGTGTGAGGGTTGATGCGGAACAGCCACCATGATTTTTTCACCAGCTGTCCTGTCTTCTCAGCCTTTCTCATTTACAAAAAGCAAGAAATGCTGCCACATGCCACCACTTCATAAGCTAGCACTTAAGAGCACATTAGCATTTTAGCAGGCAGTTTCCAAACAGGCAACTTCAAGGCAGATCTTCAAGACCGAAAATACACACAAATAGCACTGTAGCATCTAAGAACTCAAGCCACAACAATACAATGTTGTCAGTTTTATTTGTAAAAAAACCTACAGAGTTGCTGACCTTGTCCTTATCTGCACTGTATGCTCCTGTTCATGCTAAGCTTTGTTTATCTGGTTCTTTCTCTCTATATGCCCTGTGTTATACCATTTTTGGTAGAAGTTATTCATACTTACTACTCTCTTTCACAGTTCGTTCAAATGCAGTCTATGTTCTTTGTTCGTACACTTCATTAAAAGGAAGAAAACATTTACAAGTACCCTTCTAACTTGTAAAGATAATCACAATGTAAACCTCTACATTTTAAAGGCATTACATCACTTCTGCATTGTACATGCTTGTCTTAATGCTGTTGATAATGATTAAGATCAGACTCAAGCTAAGGATGAGCTGCTACAAGTTATTAATTAAAAAAGCTTCAACCTCTTCTGATAGTGCTTAAGGTGAAGTGTGGTTTGAGGCATTAAACAGGAATCTTCAAAAGAGTCCCAAGAAAGTTAGATGTTTTCATTGAGAAGTATCTGAGTATTTCCCTTCCACTGAAGGGAAAACCTACACCAAAGCCTCTAGCTGTAAAGTAACTGGATGGAAGTACCACAGGCCACTTCCATGGGAATATAAACTCAGATGCTTCTGAAGTCCTATCTACTCTAGGTCTTAGGTTTTAGTGATGCCAAACAGCATCCTATACTGAGGCTGGTAAGGCAGTGATAAATTACAAAGCTGTTTTCATAGAGGTTTTCTGGACCTGCCCCTCAAAAGGATGATTCTGAGGCTCCTGAAAAGTTGGAAGATCTTTCAAACTGAATGGGCTCTCATTCCAGATCCAAGGCAGGGCCTGGTATAAACTGAGAGATGCTGTTCAGCATGATTCTGTTGTACCACATCTTCCCTCCTGTATCTACAAAAGTGCTCAGAGATGATAGAAGCATAATGTCCCCCTGCCAAAAAATGGGATCTCATCCTACTGGTGGGGCCTCTTCCCAAGGACAATTTATTTCACAATCCCATGTTATGGTCTTGCCCAGAGGGAGAACGAGGAACTCCACAAGAACCAGGTTGTGGTTCACTGCTCTCTGAAATTATACATCTCTGCTTCAAAAACTTAAGAATCTCAATTTAGGTAGTGCATTCACAAGGTACACAGGTTTACATGGGTTTTACATGCATGTTTAAATACACTAAAAATAGTAAGTAAAAATATATGCATTGAAATAATACACACCCTTGATTTATGTACGGTTGGGTCACATTTTAACTGCTTTAAATAGCAAACATACCTAACCTCTCACACTAGTTATTTACTACTGCATGCTTAAAATAAATCGTGAAATGTCGGTGACAACTGTCATGTTGTCCTTCACTAAACATGAAAAGTTTGAGCAGCAGTAAAAACAAAAATACTGCATTGATATGGCATCAAAGTTTGTCAGTTTAAAGCTACTACTTCATGTATTTTAAAAATCCCCCTCAGAACACATCTGCCTATTACTATAATTCATCACCTTATACTCTATACTACAATATAATGTTTAAAATACAGTTAACTCTAACCCGTCAATGATTTTTTAATAAGGTATTGTACAAATATACAGCTATTTATAACAGATATAATAAAGCCATTAACATAACAGCAAGATACATAAAATTATAATCCCCAATACATGGAATGAGCTTTTCTCTGAGTCAGACAAAATCAGGCTCATTTTTTAATTATCAGCAGCGTTTAGTGAATGCTGAAGTTTTACTGATTTTGTGAACATTCAGTGAATGTAACAGATTTTACTGATGTCCTGAAGGATCAAGTGGTGTCCAGTACAGCTTCACAACGTAATTCCATCACGGTCACAATGTCAATAGATGTGCATGGTCTCTGAACTGGCTGTTGAGTAGCATGAAAAGTTTTTTCTGGATGCCTTACTGAAAGATACGCAAAGCAAATGACTGTTGATGGTGAAGTCCTTAAAGTTAAATAATTGTTTAGTGTTTCCCCCTAAAATTTAAGTGCACGAATAGTTAAACTACACTTGTAGTTTAGAAAGGCCCTTGTCTTGAGGAATATTTTACTTACAGAAGCTTCCATTGTAAAATGAAGATTCATGTTTCCCAATGACACGTGACGGAATGCTAATCTGTGGGAAATCATCCTTTGGCTTCTGGGTGTTGCTGCTGCTGGACTTACTTCGGCTGTGATCTGGTGTGGGCTGGATAGGCAAAGATCTGGCTGCCCTGGATCTCACCAGGCAGCCACAAACAAGGCGAAAGAAAGCTCGACGCATTTCCTTACTAGCCAAAGTATAGATGATAGGATTCATTGCAGAATTGATGACAGCCAAAGCTATAAACCAGTTGGCTTTGAATAGGACAGAGCATTCCCTGACTTGGCAGGCCACATCAATAAGGAACAGAATGAACAGAGGTGACCAACAGGCAATGAAGACACTAACAACAATCACAACAGTCCTGAGGAGTGCCATGGACCGCTCTGAGTTATTATGGTTAGTGACATTACGGCTGCTGGACTTTACCAGGATGTAGATGCGTGCATAAAGGATAACAATGGCTACCAGAATGGCTATGAAGATACTAATGCAGAATACAACATACTTCTTGGAGTAAAGAGGCAAAATTGTTGAGCAATCTGGCAAGTTGTTTATACAGTTCCAGCCAAGGATGGGCAAGGCACCCAAGGAGATTGAAATAAGCCAGCAGGTTCCAATGAGAAGGAACACTCTGTATTTTTTATTTGCATCATAAGGCCTCATCTTAATCATTGTCAAGTGTCGTTCAATAGCTATTGCTAATAAGCTGAAGGTGGAGGCTCCTAACGCAACAAACATACTGCCTTCCCTAATAAACCAAATTGTGGAGGACAAGCTCAGAGTTTTCTTCCCAGACATAAGAATGTTTACTTTGTAAACAATTCCAGCTAAAAGATCACAGAGAGCTAGATTGCCAATGAAAAAGTACATGCGGTTGTGAAATTTATTGTTTTTCCAAATGGCAATCAACACCATCAGATTTTCCAGGACTATGAAACTACATAGGATCAGAAATGCAACAGTGGTAAGGTCTATGTTATCAGTTGCCTTTTCCCTCAGAATAAGCTTTCCTGTGTAATTATAATGCAGTACAATCAGAGAGTCCATCTCCTCATTTCCTTCAATACCAACAACAGCAGCAGGTATCACAGTAACTGCTGACATAGTTTATTAGCTGCTGTTGGATGTTTCTTCTTTAATGTCACGAGAATTTAGTTCCAGTAATGTTCCACAAGAGGGAGATCAAGCCACAATCCTCCAAGTGCTCCTCTGGGTAGGCAGTGGATATTCCCAGATCCAGCGAGTCTCTCATGTTAATTTGGGAAAGCAGCTAAGAAACCAGATTCTGAAAATAAGAACAAATGCAAAGTAAGTCTCGCTGTCATCACACATCACCCATATAGACTGTGTGACTGCTCAAGCTGTAATACAGGCCCTGGATCCAAAAGGGATGTTGGCTATGGCTGAGTTCTGAGGTCACAGATTTATTAAGCTGGTGGTAAGGAAGCCATAGGTCTTGCTCCTCATGGGTTCAATTCTGCTATGGAAATATGATTTCAATGCAGAGAACTGTTGGTAAGTGTTTTCACCTGCAAAAGTTCCAAGTCCAAAAAAAAAAACAAAAAAAAGAAAGCAGGAGTAGAGAGAAGCTCCCAGCAAGCCTGTGTGCACAGTAACTGCTGCAATCTCAGAAAGGCTGGAGTGTATGTGGCACTGCCAAAGCACCACCCCATCTTTGCTGCCTGAGCAGTAGCAAGGCAAAATTACTGCTTTTTAGTTTTCCACAGAGATTTAAGGCAGCAGAGAACACAAGAAAGCATCAAACTTTGTCCACTGTGCACACTGCCAACGTAAAATAGCTTTCCACACTTAACAATACCAAAACTATGCTACTTGCAATTAAGGAGACACTCTGAAAGCCATTCATGATAAAGCTAATCCTACTTCAAATTCAAATTAGTTGACTTACGACTATCATTTTTTAAACAAACATAGCCAATCACATCTTTCTATTACTTTTTTTCTATACTGTGTATGCAACACATGCATATGCACAAAACAGAATCAGAGAATAGTTTTGGTTGGAAGTGATCTTTAAAGATCAACCCTTCAGCCCTGGGCAGGACTGCTACCTACCAGATCTGGCTGCTTGTGGCCCCATCCCACTGGCCTTGAACACCTCTGGGGAAGGGGCATCCAGAAGTTTTTTTCTGCGCTAGTGCCTCAAAGGGTGATGAGTAAAAAACTTCTGCCTAATGTCTAACCTAAATCTCCCATTTCAGTTTAAAGCCATTCTTCCTTGTTGTTTCACTATTAGATTATGTAAAAAGTAGGTCCCCCTCCTGCTAATAAACTCCCTTCAAGTACTGGAAGGCAACAATGGGGTCTCCTTTGGAGCCTACTCTTCTCCAACTTAAACAAGCCCAATTCCCTCAATCTTTTCTCGTAGGAGAGCTACCTTTCGACCATCCTCATGGCCCTTCTCTGGACCTGCTCCAATAGCTCCCCATCTCTCCTGTACTCAGGATCCCAGACCTGGATGCAGAACTCCAGATGAGGCCTCACAAAGGCAGAGTAGAGGGGGACAATCACGTCCCTCACCCTGCTGGCCACCCCTCCTCTGATGCAGCCCAGAATACAGCCCCAGCTGCAAGCACACACTGCTGGCTCATGTACAGATTTTCATCCACAAGGATTTCCAAGACCTTCTCTGCAGGGCTGTTATCAATGAGCTCTTCTCCCAGTCTGTACTCATATCTGAGATTGTCCTGAGTCTCTCTGCAGTTGTCCTTGTTGAACCTCAATAGGTTTATCTGTGCCCACTTTTTGAGCCTGTATAGGTCCCTATGGATGGCATTCCTTCCGTCTGCTACGTCAACTGTACTACTCAGCTTGTGTCATCATCAAACAGAGCACTCGATCCCACTGTGCTGAAAAGGACTAGATCCGAGATGGACCATTGAAAGACACCACTCATTACTGGTCTCCACCTGGACACAGATCTAGATATAAAATGTATAAAAGACACTGATTTAAGATTTTTCTTTTTTAAATACTAAAATGACCAGACATTGTTCTTTTCAATTTACTTCTGTTCTTCAAATGGAGACTTAGATTAATTGTAACATTTTCCCATGGACTTCGAAATGATGCATTTTCACAGCAGATTGATTCTCTTACCTCTTTTTTTGCACTTCCATGCATAAGTATTGGAAGAGATCTATACAGCTTTATAAAAATATCAGGCGGTGACAGAAGCGCTTAATACTCTACCAAAATGTGACAGGCACTGCATACTTCAATGAGAATCAGTGCTCATGCCTCAAGTGCATGCAGTAAGGTTGAATGGATAGCCAATTTTTCAGTTCAGCTACCAAACAAGGATGAAGACAAGAACAGAACTGATTCCATCTGAAGCAAATTTGTGTGTTTTTTTTTTAATTCATGAAAAATAGGAAAATAAAATTTCTGCTACATGGAGGTCACTTTCTATTGGTCTGCCCTCCCCCTAGTGTAACTTAATTTTAGGAATTTATAAGAGCTAGAACTCATATATATATACTATTTACAAAATGTCCATGAACGTTTCCCAAATATGTCAAAGGCACTTTCAAAAGAAGACATCAAGAGATGAATTAGAGATTTCAGCCTCGACTAGTACACCAGCAGTTTTCAACCTCTGACCTATACGGCGCAAGGACTCTCTTAATTATTCTACATAACTGAGGTATGCAGGCTTACTGTCAGTAGGCTTAGGCTTAACGCAGGAGTATATGTACTTTCACTGGAAAGCACACAGGTTTCTGAAGATCACAAAAGCTCCTGAGTTACCACTATTCCAGCACATCGTTTTGGACACTTCAGAACTGGGAGTGGAATTTCAAGTGCCTTGTAGAAGACTGGAGGAGCAAAGCAAGTCCCAGTTGAATGTAAATGGAGTAAAGGATGACCCAACCCATTTTTCCCACCCTCCCTTTTCCTTAATTCTCTCCTTCAGAAAAGAATGAACCTAACAAAAGCTTGTGGTGACATGACATAATTTCATTATCACATTCAGGACGTATCAAAATGATTGTCTGAGAGAGTGATTTTCTATTATTATTCGCCCATTCTAGTCTCTATGTCCAAAATTCTTTGGTGGAGAGAACCACAGGGAGAGGTTATGCAAGAAGCACAGTTATCTCTTGGAGCTGTAAGTCTTTTTCTCTCTGAAGATGGCAATCCCCTCATTCATTTCTCCTGATCTGAACTGGGCCCTCAAGTTGTTCACCATTTTTCTGAAGCATGAACAGCAAAGCTCTGAGCTTCACCTCAGCCAAGGTTCAATCTAATTGTAATTCAGTTAAAATCTGTACACTGTTATCACAGACTATCACAATCTTTCATTGTATTGAGTTACAACAAAATGCCACTGTTCATATGAATTGCAAGTGCTTGTCACTGTACAATAAGCAATTATATTTGATTAGAAAAGTATTCATTAATGATAGCTTAACTAGCATCAGACTGCTTGAGAGAATTGTACTCAGTGTTGTTACAACACCACATGCAACAAAATGCATGTTTCTATAAGACTTTTCCAAGCAGAGATATGATACTCTTCTATCACAGAGCAAATGCATTTCATTCTGACTCTATTGAAGGCAATGGTGCTATACCAGTTTCCCTGGCAGAAAGCATGGGTGATGCACTCAATCAGCAGAAATTACACTGGGTCTTTTTCATTGTTTATAATTACTTCTTCTCTTAAAATTATTACAGCAAATTCAGTATCACTGGTAAATCTGCCTCTGACAGCCCAGTGTCAAGGCAGTGGAGAATGTAACAGTATTCACCAGGACTCTATGGGAATGAATCTGACTCACTAGTCACCTGAAAGTACCTGAAATACACCTGAAAAGTCACCTGAAATACACTAAATTAAAAACTACTCCTTTCTGGCAGCAGCATTCAGCCATGCCATTTTTTAAAGATTGTTTTCATTCTTCTCCTTCTTTGTAGTCAGTAACTCAGAAATTATACAATTGGTTGTGTACTATAACAATGAGATAGCAGCAGTCAGATTTAGAATACCCATACCACTGCTTCCTGACAGCTCTACAAACTAGTCCTCCAAATGTCTCTGTGCCAGCCAGATGCAGAGGACTAGTCACTAGCTGCAAAGTATGGACCTTACCTTTAAACAGTGAAAAAAGAACCTGAAGAATATGTTAGTGTGCATTTCACATTCAGCACTGCTGTGGTAAAGTACCTCAGTACCCTGAGATACAGCGAGAAACCCACTTCATTCTCTCTAAAGGAAAGAGGAGAATCTCTATTGCTGCACCACCAGGCACCACAAGAAGCATAAAACTATAGGCAGAGCAAGGGCAACCTGACTATGACTCCCTGTGGATGCGTGTTCAAACAAAGGAACGATGCCAAGAACCACAGCCAAGTGGAACACAATTCAGCTGCCTCCTTTCCTGCTTATTCTGAGGATGGAAATAGCAGCTGGGTGAGCAGTGTGGCTGTGAACATCACGATCTGCCCATGCTGGCAAACCTTCTTGCCCACCGCTACATTTTATGATTTCAGTAGCTGTTAGTGTGGTCTCCTGCAGAGGTCCAAGATCCTCATGCGTCCTTCCAAGTTGCAGTAGAGCTCACCACCACAGCTGATGTTCCCAGAGTCTGATGATACTGCCTCCCACATGGAAAGGTCAATTCCGCATGAAAGTCAGTAACACTCAGTTCTGCCCCCTGGTACATCTCTACCACCCTCCCCAGACATACCACTAGTAGGTGGGCAAGCTGGGCTCTCCACAGGTAAGCCTGGGTAAGGCTGCTGGGGACAACCTGCAGTTTTCCTCTGGGACTGTGGAACTCCCAGTACCTGAAGGCAGCAGGGAGCTGATGACGAGACAGGGGTCTCTCTTCGGATGGGTGCTCTTTAACATCTTTATCAATGACATCGATGACGGAATCGAGTGCACGCTCAGCAAGTTTGCTGATGACACCAAGCTGAGTGGTGCGGTTGACACGGTTGAAGGAAGGGATGCCATTCAGAGGGCTGAAAGGTGGGCCTGGGTGAACCTAATGAGGTTCAACATGGCAAAGTGCAAGGATTTGCACTTGGGCTGGAGGAAACCCAGGCATCCATACAGACCAGAAGGAGCAGTCCTTGAGAGCAGCCCTATGGAGAAGGACCTGTGGATCCTGACAGATGAAAAGTTTAATGTGAGCCAGCAGTGTGCCAGCAGCTCGGAAAGCAAATGGTATCCTGGGTTCTATGAGAAGAGGGGTGGCCAGCAGGGACAGGGAGTGATTGTCCCCCTCTACTCTGCTCTTGAGAGGCCCCACCTGCAGTAGTAACTGTCCAGGTCTGGAGCCCTCAGTACAAGAAAGACAGAGAGCTATTGGAGAGGGTCCAGAGGAGAGTCACGAAGATGGTCAGGGGACTGGAGCACCTCCCCTACAAAGACAGGCTGATGGCGCTGGGCTTGTTCAGCCTGGAGAAAAGAAGGCTGCGGGGTGACCTCATTGCAGCCTTTCAGTACATAAAGGGAGCCTACAAACATGAGGGGAATCAACTATCAGCTAGCCCTCAGATATCAGGACAAGAGGAAAAGGGGACCCTGGGCAGCCTGGCCTAGCATTAAACAGGGAGGTTGGTAGCCCTGCATGTGGCAGGGGGGTTGGAGATTCACGATCCTTGAGGTCCCTTCCAACCCAGGCCATTCTGTGATTCTGTGATAATGCAGACTCCCAGCACCCTTCCGCAACTATCTGCAGCATACCTCTGTTCTCAGCAGGCATTCTGCTCAGAGACCCATAGGGAGTAAAGGGCAGCCACCATCTCATGAGTCACTGTGCAATTTACAGCAGCAAAAATAAGAAGTATATATTTTTCAAAACACTGAGCCAAACAATTTTCATTGTAGCCCAAGTCAATCTTACTAAACACAAATGAAAACAAGACTTAATTTACTGCTCCTTACATTTCCCCTTCACAACAGCATAAAATCCAGTTAAGTTTCGGACACCCACTGCAACTCATCTGGATTCTGTATTTTCCTACCTTCCAATCATCCATGAAAATACATGCCCAAACAGACTGGAGCCCCCCTCAACACCACCACACACATTCCTGTTCTTCCTTCTCTTCCACACATTGCCATATGCTTTGGCCACAAATTACAATTTTAAGAAAAGCAAAGGGAAAGACAAGAACGTATATTCACAGCCAAACCATTGTATATTTTAAAGCCTTTATAGATTAAAAGTAAATGTATGCAATTTCTCTGGTAACCCTGGCAGTGTCAAATTTAAAAAAAGGCTTTGAAGAACAGCCATGCTCAATGTAAACAGCATCCAGACAACAAACATCTGCTGCAAAACAATGTATTGGACAACTCAAATAAATTTTAAAATAATTGTTTTTGAAGTGAATGTTCTGGCAGTTTACGGCCGTTAGTAATGGTTACTTTTTGGCTTTGAAAGTCAGACATCCGTTTGCATTCTGTAACCCCGAACAGCACACGGGCACCTCGCAGTCCCGTCCAGTTTTGTTCCTGCATGTAAGCAAGCTAAAAGAAGGAATATTCACTTATTCCCCCCTGCCGGCCCCTGCTGCTCTCAACTTATTCCTCCCACCCCCAAAAAATCAGCACTCAGTTCGCAAACTCTAATTTCTCAGCAACTCGAACTTCGGGGGGCGGGGTGGGGGGAGTGGAGGAGAGGTATGTGACAAAGCACTCGTCGGAGCCGTCCGAGCACAACCCCGACAGCTCCGGAATGCTCGCAGAAGGCCGGCGTCACCTAACCCCGGCGCTCGGCGCCCCACTCACCGCTCCGCCGCTCCGCGCCGCATCCTGGGCTCGCCGCCTTCTGCAACTTTCCAGCTCCGAACAAGAGCTCCCTGGCGGCCGGATAGGGGATTCACAGCACTCACCCACTGCCGCACCGACGCCGGATAGAGGGTCCGCGCCGCGAAGAACAGTACCTGCCTCCCGCCCCCGAAGCTCAGTGGCAGCAGCTCCCGAGCTCGCGGGCTGTGCTGGGGCCGGGCCGGGACGGGCCAAGTCGGGCGGGTCTGAGATGGCAGCAGCCGTTCCCCGCCAGCGCTTCCCGCCGGCCCGGAGCCGCCCCGACCGGCCGGCCCCCTCCTCAACCCCGAAGTCTGCCCGCCTCCTCCCGCCTCCGTCCTGTTCTGCCTGTCCCGCTGTCAGTCTGTCGATGCAGACAGGCTGGGCGTGGAACAATAGCAGTGAGCACGGAGAGAGAAGAGCGGGGCAACAAAGCCCACTGCGGAGTATTTTTGCGGACCATCTAAGTGCTGTTGGAGAGAAGAGGGGGAGGAAATTCTAGGTAGTTCTTACTCATCTCGAATTATTAGCATGTTCGAGTGAGGCTCACCTTTCCTGCAGCTGCCCTCGATTTTATTGTGTCTGATAATCAGCAGTCGGCAGAGAGGGATGGCACCAGGTGAAAGGCACGTTTAGAAATTCCAAGCAAAAATTGTGGAGGTTTTACACTGAACTGCCAATTACAATAGGCCCTTCGCAAGGTATATCTTGACAGAAGTATTGATTGAATAAAAGTATCTCAAGGATAGCGATAGGCATGCAGGTTGCTTGAGTGCTGGAAGCTATACTTCTCAAAAGAAGTTGAAACTGGTGTTCTAGAATGTCTTAATTTACTCCAATTTGTAAATACTTATCTGTGGGTACTGCAAAGCATCCTGTCAGAAAGCAAAATCTTTCAGTCAAGAGTGCATACAGTGCGCAGGAACAGCGCAGCTGCACTGCTGAGTGCAGGCAGACCTCAAGGGTGCCCAGTGCCTCACAGCAGTGATGTTCTCAGCTCAGCATCATTGCACTGATACTCATGCCACAGTTTCAGCTGTCAAGTGGCCTGCACCACTTATCTGGTTAAAGTCCTAGAAGAAAGCAGAAATGGGGTCTTAAAAGCTAGACGTGTATTTTACACAAAGCTGATGAAACAGAATACAAGGTGGTTTTCTGTCACTTTTTTTAATCCATGGGAGATGATTAATAAAACATTTCTGGATAGGAGCTTAGGAAATAAGAACTACAGATGACTGTAGACTCTATAGACTACAGAAGACTGGTAAAATTGCTTTGAAGCCTCTGGGTCCAGTCTTTGAGGCCCTACCAAGCTATGGGCAGCACTGCGCTGCAATGAGAGTGGTGCTGGCCTGATTTCGTCTTTCCATCTTGCATACTGTTTAAGGTCTGCTCAGTTCTGTGGAATGAAAGTTCCCTCCACACTGCTTAGATGCACACGCCACTTCTTACAGCAAAGGGGACTCCAAGCCTGCGGGCTGGGGCTTTCTTGTACCATGGGAAAGTCTTGTCCAGCCAAATGACCCCAGAATGCTCTGCAGATACCCTGGAAGTCACTTTCCACATGCTGCAAAGCCCAGTTCTGGTAGAGATGTTTTGGTAGGCACCTCTTTGTCTTGCTCTCAGATCTGTTATTATTCTTTGTCCTTTCCTCTGTATTTCCTTTAGTACCTTTTTATACTTTGAGAGAGGAGCCTTGAGTCAGGAATCTGCCACAAGAAAGATTCTTTTGGCAACAGTGGCTGGAGGTGCCAAGCCGAGCCTTGCAGTGGATTTGGTGTGGCTCCTCAGTTGGTCCTGCCACAAACTTGTGAGGGTGTATGAGTAGCCAGGGCCCACAACAGGACAAGGAAACTGCCCTTCACTGCAGAGCACTGTACTTGCGAAATACTGTATATGTGGTGCAGACCAGATATTACTTCTGAGAATGCTGATGTTTGGCATCCCAAGCCCTTCTTCTGCCAACAAAACCCCTTTAATAGTATGATCCCAGCAGTAAGCACAGGGGACATTATACCCCCGCTCTTCCCTCTGGAAGGCAGGGAGGCAGACAGCAGGATAGTGCAGTGCAGGCTGGAGGAGCCTCCCAGGAGCAATGAGTGGAGAAAGGTCCTCAAGCAGGTGCTGTCAGGGATTTTCTGGGGTAACACCTCATATCCCAGCAGCTCTCCACAGCAACCCTCTGGGAGCTCAGCACAGCCCTCTGGTTCATTTCTGAACGTTGTGCAACAGCCTGAAAGGCATGCTTACAAATAGTTTTCCAAAAAGCTCTCAGCTTTGTTGAAGCACTCTTAAAAGAAATGGCATATTTCTGAGGTAAATTATTAGCAATCAGGTAAGAAACAGAAAGCATTGGCAAAGAACAATGGTCAATTTTCATAGCAACAGGAGTTTAGCCGCTGAATTGCCCAGCAACATGGAGTCTATTATGACCTGGAAATTCATGAGTAGCTTGGTGAATAGTATGCATAATGGCAGAGCAGCATTTGCTGATGTTATTGGGGTACTTAACAGGAAAACTAAAACTGTTCACAAAAAATTTCCAGACCCTAAAGGTCTTGAGTGACCTGCTGATAAAATGATGTGTCAGGTTCCAGGTTGCTAAGTGAAACATAGGAAAAAACAACTGTACTTATACATACATAAATTTGCCTGAAGTGTTAGCACTCAGGAGGGATGGATGTAATTGTGGATAGTTACTTGAAAACACTGTACTCATTAACTGTAAATGGGAAACTAATATTAGGAATGATGAGATAAGAAAAGAAAATCAGAGCATATTTCTAGTTGCTTCATCTATACACTATGATTGGCATAATGTGGTACAGTGAACCACAGAAAAGAGCACACAAGGTGACAGGATGGTTATGAAAGTTTTCTGGGCAGAGAAAATGCAAGTTGGCTGGGCCTGATCATTAGTGTGACGAAAGGGAAAAGTGCAGCAATGGAGAAAGACAGTTTAAAACAAAAGGAAAGAAATTTCCAAAAGGATAGTATTGAACTGAGGAACAGGTTGCTGCAGGAGAAAAAAGTAGAAGATGGTTAAATGTACACACAGGTACAGTTCTGATGACTCTTAAGCCTCGTGGCAAACACAGCATGGAACAGAGGTTGCTGAATCCGGGCTGGGGCAGCACACTTCCATCCCTGGAGCTAGTATGGGGTGGATCCCACCTGTTTTCTTTCCTCTCTTTTTGTAAAAACTCATGATCTTGGCTAAAAGGACAAACAAACAGTCACATAGGTGATGGCATGAACATTGCTTCTGCAGATACAGAAAAACTGAGCACTTATTTTGAGGGGAGGGGTGGAATTTAAGATGAATATAAAATAGGAAGATTCAGAACTCAGAGAAGTAGCTCAGCCAAAGCAATAGACTTGGAAGTGATGTAGCCAAGTTATGTGATCAGTCTGGAGCCTCACAGCACACTGTGGCAGCTGATGACTTTGTTTCTCTGTCATCTGTGTTCAATGGAGAATTTATAAGTAAATTTTGTCATTCAGAAATTGCTTCTGATTCAACTCAATAAGAGACGCGTATACCATTTATATTAAAGGGTTTTCAGCACAGGCTTGAAAGTTAAAAAAACAATGTTAGAACTTTACAAATACTTACAGGAATAAAAAAAAATGTGGTAACTGCCAGACAAGATGAAGCCACCCTCAGACTTGAGTTTGCAGTTTTTATACAGAAACACAGATCATGTGACATGAGTAATACTTTCTCAGGTACCAGAAGAAACTCTCTTTTATGTTAACTGTTTTAGATCTTATAAAACTTAGGGTCTTTCGGCTTATCAAGATTAAAAAACGTTAGTGCCATGTACTACTGATGCATTAGTTAGAAATCCTCACACAGATCTGTCACTGATTTAATTTCCTGATGTTCCTGAAGTAATTCTTCATAACTTGGAAAATCAGTCATCTATTTTTTATTCGATTGGTTTAATATGTAAACAAAACATGAGCAGAGCAATCTTAAAAAACTGCAATTAAAAACAGAAGGACATTTACCTAATTATATTATAACTTATTGTAGCTGTCTGCTTTTGACTGCAGCTGAGTTTATCTTTTTAGCAAGATACATTGTGCATTTTCATGTTTTGGTAATGAAGTTGTGCAAAATATTTTTCTTTGTAAAACTGGTTCTTCACATGTTTTTGTGCTTAAAAGCCAAGCTCAAACCCAATATTGTTTAATTCAGAAATGATTACTAGAATACGAAATATTAAAGAAAAACAAAGAAAAAGAGTATTAATTTGGAAAGCTGTTGAGCCATAATCCTCAGGGACAAAAACATATTTGGTTGCTACATCAAAGAAGTTATCTATCAATCACAGTAATTAAAGAAGATTCTGGATGCTTCAAAAATTATAATTTCACATCCTTATGCACTTTTTTTGTCATGGCTATGCATTTGTTGAATTATTTTGATTTTCTCTATTTGTTTTAAATATCTGTGCCCTCCTTTCTTTTTCAACAGTAAATCTGGCACGCTGACCCTGTAAATACACTGTATGAATGACTGAGGCCATGATCCTGCTGCTCCAACATTTCTAACCCACTTTGCTTGAATCACAACATCCCATAATGTGTTTTGAGTTCATAGATTTAAAATGGGAATCTTTAGAAAACAGTATTTGAGTCAGAGCATCTGAAAATATTAACATTGCTTTAATATACAATTTTGGAGTTTGTCTTAGGGGTGATTGACAAACACAGTAACCAAATACAATCACATGTGCTTTCTGTTCCCCCAGATCAGTACTTGGGAATGACAAAAAGGGAAATGCTTGGACTTTTCACAAGCTGAATGTAAATGCATATGAAGGCTGTAGGTTTAGAACAACCTGCAGAAAAGGAGAGAGAAAGAACACGGTGATGGTGAATGCGATAGGCAGTGCCAGCAGGGCGTCCCCTGCTTCAAGGTGCACTTTTCCTCTCTCACCCACCACAGGTTCTCTCTTGCTTTTATTTCTTCTCAGGTATTTTCCATTTGTACACTGCATCTGCATGGCCAGTGTGTGATACAGAGGCCAAATGGAACACCTGCTTGCAGAATAAACTATCAAGGTTAGCTCTCTTAGTATGCCTTTGTCTCAGGTGCTGCATGATCATATTTTAAATTCCTGATTAATGGGATGAAAGAGAATTAATCATTCTATAATATAGGGTCATCCCTTTGCCTGGGATTCCTTTCCAAGTTTGTCTTAGCACTACTAATACATTAAAATAGCTATTCCATAGATTCCAGCATTGGTAACATT